ATGTTTTGAGAAACGATGTACAAATGTGCTTTACACAATTGATGTGTGTATGGATTGGGATAACAGTTGTATGAGCCCCTAATAAAATGTTAAAAAATAAATAAATAAAATAAAAATAAGAATTCTTTTTGGTGAAGGAATGTATTGAACTTGAGGTTTTGTTTGTAGTGTAAGTTAATGTATAGATGTTCCCTAGATCAGCTCAGTTTTTGAGATTGGGAGAAGCTTGGGTGCTTTGTGAGACATTACTAGAAATCAAAAGAAGTATGCTTCTTTAGTATATTAGGAGCAGAGCTAGCATGCCAAATGTATATACTTTATGACTGATTTGTAATGATCATTGTGTTGTTTTGAGGAGGGCAGAGTTCAGAGTTCAGAATAAGCCTTCTTAGCTTCTGTACAATTTTGAAAATGCCTCATTTAAATTCATATCCTAGGGGTTCATGTTTAAACATGTCTCCTTTGTTCTATTCACCGTCTAGGGACTTTTGCCTATGGAAAGTCAGAATAGTTCCATGAGTTGGTAATTCAGCTGCAAATCTGTCTCCAGTGTCTGCCTGACTTCATTACTCTTTTTGAAAAATTACCAAACCACACTAAAGTATACCTCTCCCAAGTTGTTTGAATAGCTGACATCTTCCTGACGCTTTCCTCCCTTTCGTATTTCATCCGTAGTACAATTACTAAACCTTAATGTCATTCCACTAGCTCTTCTTTTTTGATTTTATTTTATTGGGGCTCTTACAGCTCTTACCACAATCCATACATACATCCATTGTGTCAGACACATCTGTACATATGCTGTCATCATCTCTTTCAAAACATTTTCTTTCTACTCGAGCCCTTGGTATCAGCTCCTCATTTGTTTGTTCTTCCCTGCCCTCCTTCCCTCACCCATGTCCCCTTGATAATTTATAAATTACTATTATATTTTTTTCATGTCCTACACTGACCATTGTCTCCTTTCACCCACTTTTCGTCTGTCCGTCTCCCTGGGAGGGTGGGCTGCACATCAATTATTGTGAATGATTCCCTCTTACTACCCTCCTCCCCACTTCCCTTATCCTCCTAGTATTGCTGCTCCCCTAATTGATCCTGAGGGGTTTATCTGTTCTGGATTCCCTGTGTTGCAAGCTCTTATCTGTACTGGTATACATGTTCTGGTCTAGCCAGAAATGTAAGACAGAATTGGGATCATGATGCGGGGCTGGGGGAGGAAGCATTAAAGAACTAGAGGAGGGTTGTATGTTTTGTCAGAGCTATACTGCACCCTGACTGGCTGTTTCTTCCTTGTGGCCTTCTGACAGGGGGTATCCAATTGACTACTGATGGCCTTTGGGTCTCCATTCTGCCCTTCCCCACATTCCTATTTATATGGTTTTGTTTGTTTGTTTGTTTTGTTTTGGGTCATCGATGTCCGTTACCTGATCCTATCGACACCTCATGTTCACAGAGGCTGGTGTGCTTCTTCCATGTGGGCTTTGTTGCTTCTCAGCTAGATGGCCACTAGTTTATCTTCAAGCCTTTAAGACCCCAGATGCTATGTCTCTTGATAGCCAGGCACCATTAGCTTTCTTCACCACATTTGTTTATGTACCCATTTGTCTTCAGCGATCGTGTCGGGAAAGGTGAACATCAGAGTTCCGTGTTAGTAGAACAGAGTGTTCTTGCATTGAGGGAGTACTTGAGTGGAGGACCAATGTCCATCTGCTGCCATAATATTTTATAAATTAATATATTACATAAATCTATTCCCCTATCCTTATATATAAATATACTTACATATATACATGTCTGTATTTAGACCTCTATAAATGCCCTTTGCCTCCCAGTTCTTTTCTCTATTTCCTTTTATTTCCTTCCTGTCCCATTATCATGTTCAGCCTTTATTTGGGTTTTGGTAATTCCTCTCGGCTACATTACCTTTGATTGAGCCCCTCCAAGCATCCTATGCCCTCCTCGCCATCAGTTTTAGATCACTTATTCTTCTCGTCCCTAGGTTTGTTGGCACTCCCCTCCTTTTCCCCTATCTCCCCCCACCCCCGCCAAATGTCAGTCCCATTGTTCTCTCCTCCAGATTGTTCATCCCGCCTATCTTGTCCAAATAGACATGCAGAGACAATACTATGCGCAAAAACAAAGGAAACTAAACAAAACACAACAAAAAGAGAAGACAAGAAGTAAATCAACAACAGTGAATACAACAAAACCAACAAATAAATAAAAACCCCAAGAGCAAAAAACAAAAGTCCTCAAACAGTTCCAGGTCTGTCCGTTGACCTTTGTGAGTGTTTTCCAGTCAAGTCCGCTGGGATGCCACGCCCTGGCCCCAAAGTCCACCTTTGACATTCCTCAGGCACTTAGTTGCTTTGCTCCCCTTGCTGCTCTGCTGTCCACCCTTAGTGTTTCACCCCGTGTGGTGGGTCGGATCAAGCACATTTCCCTCATTGTGTGCTCAGTGCTGTCCCCTTGAGCACATGTGTCAGTGAGGGACATCATCATACCTGGCGGTGGGGCTGACCCTGTGATCCTCTGTGCATTGGCTGCTCTGAACCAGAATATTGTCCTCAGGGCTAGTGGGCTGGGGTGTGTTGCACTTGTTCCTTCCTTCTTCGTTTGCTCCTGATCAGCTGCGCCCCACTTCCTGAGCTGCAGCTTCAGTGCTGTCCTCTGAAGTGCATTCCTCTGCACTTGTAGCTGGGCTTGGGGGGCAGTCCTGCTTCCTGTCTCATGCCTCTATGTTGCATTCACTCTTGGCACGCTGTGTTGAAGTCTGATGCCTGTATCCCTGTCTTGTGTAGATAGAAACAACCCCCCCACCCCCCTTGGGTGGGTTAGAGCCCTGTTCACTCGCTATCCCTGTCTCTCCTTCCCCCCCTCTTTTTTAGTTGGCTGCCATACGTATCCCTGGGTTGGGTTTAGTTGGTACCTGGACCTCAGCCTGGGAATGTATGTATTTTCCCATATACCCCTTTTTGTAGGTTGTTTTAGTTTTGCTTACCTCAGCATTCCACTAGTTCTAATTAGTGGCCTACTCTCAGAGAAGATCATGTTTGGATCTACATTTCTGTGTCTACATTGATTGTTTGAGTTGTACATGTGTGTGATGTCATTTCTTTCCCTGGTATAAATGCTAACATGTGATGTTGCTCTTTTATTTTTATCTTTCTTAGTATGAAATGTTGCATAACATTTTTCTGGGTGTATTGGAATATGAAATTTTACTTCTGATATTTAGTTTGGTTTAGTGAAATGTTATAGACCTCCTGTAAGGTGTGTGATGAAAAGGATGTATAATAATGGGTTTGAATTTTTATATCCTTAGAAGGAGACCTGGCCTTACAGGGTAGCATCGGGAGCTTGTCTCTAAGTGACCTTACTTCCCATGGAGAGTTCTACAGAGAACGATTCACTACGAGTGGTGAAGAAGCGCTCATCTTCCAGACTTTTAAGTACAAAAGTTCATCTTTTCTTACTTGATTGTTCTTTATAATCACGTACAGTTTTAAATTCTCAGTGGCTAGGCAGTGAAGAATGGAGAAAGTTTTTACCTTCTCTGGTAGAATTGATAAAATCTGTTGTAAGGAGTCCTGTGCTATATTAAATTTCATTAAAATGGCTCTGTGTTGAAGTGGGCTACTGAGACCCATCAATGGAGCATGGCTGATGTCGTGTTGATTGTTCAAACACCTGGGCTTTCTCATATTAGGTTTTCCACGACCTTGTTGCGTGACTTTAGGCAAGACACTTAATCACCACCGTGCTGTTTTCTAAACTGAGTATGAAGGGGATTGAGATCACCCCTAAACTTACATCTAGTTCTAAAAGTTCTGTAGTGATTCCAGTCCCAGAAAGTTGTTAGTGATGTGGATGCTAAATTGCTTTATATATATATATATATTGCTAGTGATGTGGATGCTACATTGCGTTATATATATATATATATATATATATTTTTTTTTTCCCCCCCTCAATAAACATGACCTATGTGGAATCCTTTGGATTTTGTATTTCAGAAGGCATTTTAGGTCTATTGGATTACGAAAGAATGGTTTTAAAAGGTAGACAGTTTAAAATGGTGGGTTTCAACCGTAGTATAGTTGCTGTTAGGTGCCATCGATTTGGCTCTGCCTTAGTAGGAGCTGTTTAAACAAACATACAGTTAGCTGTCCATCTTTTGCCCCCAACTATGTTCATTTAATTGACCTGAGGTGGGCTGAGCCCTATTTTTAAATGTGCTGAGATGATTTTTGTGTTCAGTCAGGCTGAGAAACACTGCTTTAGAAGAAGTCTGAGGACTTTTTCTTTCTTTTTCTGGGGGACTATATCATACTACACTGAGAATATAGGTTAATTTGTTTACATTATTACGTAATGTGTGCGGCATGGTTCTATAATAAATGAGATCATTTATGTAAAGCGCTCCTTATTCTCTGCCTGGCACAAAATAGGTACTAAGCAAATGTGAGTTCATTTCCCCAGTGACTATGTAATAATAGTAATTTATTATTAATGGCATCATGCACTATTAAATTCAAAACCATTTGTGAAAATCTTCTAATTTATCTTTATAGATTCTGCAAACTCTTTGGCTTGTATTTCACTTGAGTAAAATGAAGACCTTTTATTTTCAGATGCCTTGTCTTTCAAGGCTGTATTGTTACAATCCCTGCTAGGAACAGACTGAAGAGGAATAACCACTTTTCCTCAAAGGGAAAGGGTGGGCGGGACAGCAGGGGGAGCCCAGGTGGCTTCTGAATGAGTCCTGGGCTCAAGAGTGAATTGAGAGCCTGGTTGAGAGCTGCACACCTTGTGTATAGCCCCAGCTGTTATACCAGGCTTCAATGTAAGGTTCTCAATATATTACGGGAGCTTAGAAAGGGAGTAGTTATTGGAGTTTGTGTTCTAAAACCTAATTGTGGGTGCTCAACTGTTTTCTAGGAAAACCCCTCTGAATCGACCAAAGTTTTCCTCAAATACTAGCAGATCCATATCTTGCTGCTGCCTGAATTGAATTTTTACTCTCCTAGATACGGCCGGCCTGATCCTCTGCTCCAGAGGGAGCACGACGTTCGAGTGAGCCTCCAGATGGCCTCTGTGCAGTATGTGCACACTCAGCGCTTTCAGGCTGAGGTGGTGGCTTTCATTCAGCATTTCACCCAGCTGCAAGACGTCTTAGGGCGCCAGCGAGCTGCTGTCGAGGGGCAGACGGTAGGTAGTCTCATTTCTTTTCCAGCTTGATCACTGGAAATCTTGAGCCTCTAGAAATAAATCTGGAAAAATTTCACTGAATAAAGTAAAGATGATTTTATACTTATTTTTCTGTGTAGCCGATTAACTTATCATTGGGCAGAAACTGTACTGTAATTATGCTGTGCGCCCATGTTTGGGGGGGCTTTGAAAAGTATATAGGCAAATGGAATTTTTCTATGAACTTTTTGAAGTTTCATATATATATATATATGCCACACACAACACATTGCCATCGAATCTATTTCAAGTCATGTGACCCTTTCGGACAGAGCAGAACTGCCCCATAGGGTTTCCAAGGCTGTCTGTCATCCTTACAGAAGCATCTTCCATGGAGCAACTTGTGAGTTCTAATCTCCAGTCTCTTGGAGATTAAATCAATAAAAAACTTAGTTTATAAGCTAAGCTGAATAAATGCTTAGCTTCTGTGCCCCTAGGGCTCCTTATACATGACATATATATGCTATACCTATATACAAAAAGTTTGCCGGAAACATTTCGTTTTGTATAGCGTGTCTTTTTTACATCCATTTACTTTGGACCAGTTTGTGTCTTTATATTTGAAGTTGCTTTTTCATATGTTCTGTATAGTTGGTCTTGCTTTTTAAAAAATACTATCTGGTAATCTCTGTTTTTCAACTGGCGTTTTTAGATTGTTTATGTTTAGCAGGGCTATTGATAAGATTAGTTTCAATATACTATCATGCTATTTTTCCCCCTCTCTTCTTGGGCCCCTGCTAGCCCCTTTCACTCTTGCACTGTCTTTTCCTAATTGATGAATTCTTATGATTTTATGAGTTTTTACTTTATTAGGTTGTTAGCTTTAAGTCTGTTGTACATTTTCAGTAATTGCTCCAGGTTTAACGTGTATGTTTTGCCTTTTCACATTTAAATACTATAGATAACATTATACTGCTTCACATATACTACATGTGCTACTTCACCTTATATTTCTCTTTATCCTGACCTTTGTGCTATTATGGGCATACATTTATTTCTATAATTATTATGAACCCTGCAATAGGGTGTTATTTTTGCTTTAAACATAAATTACTGATAGAAATTAAGAACTCCTTTCTACTTACCCACCACGTATTTGTAATATCCAGTGTTGTATTTCTTTATGGAGGTGTCTGTGTGCAGCTGGCATCAGCCTCTTCTGCTCTAGGACTTCTAGGACTTTATTTCTGTTTGGACTTGTTTACTGATGATTACTTTTCACAGTCACTGGTTCACCATCCTTTTAAAAGGTTTTTTTTTCTATGTATAAAATTCTAGGTTGGCCATTCCTCTCCGTGTACTTAGAGATGTCATTTGCTTATTCCGATTTGCATTCTTTCTTTTTTTTTTCTCCATAACAGTTTTATTGGCATGTAATTCAGATATCATACAATTACATAGTTCATTCATTCAATCACATCTAGGGGAGTTGTGCAATTAACCACCACATCTATATTAGAGCTTCCCCCCGCCCCACCTCATGGTTGTATGGCCTTTAAACTGATTTGTGCAATCACGATCAGTTTTAGTGCTCCCTCACGCCTCCCACTTTCATGTTTACTCCTGAAATCCCCTTTCCCTCCCCAGCACCCCCTGCTCCCCATTCCTTATAACACCTTGTATCAGTTATTATCATTATACAACCTTTCCTCCTGTGTTTCACAGTTGGGAAAATAAACAAAACAATGAAACACAAATTGCACTAAGGTGGTAATGATAAGAGCACATTAATATAAAAGCAAAAATACAAATGTGCGTAAGAGGGAGAAGACCCACACTAATATTCAAAAAACCAGGGAAGACATTTCTGTCATGGGACCAACTAAGAGATACTTGCACCCAGTACAAATTCAGGTCGTGTCTATAGGGAGGACATCTGGCCTGGTACCGAGTTCGATCCCACATAATCTAGGTTATAGTGGTGTCTGGCTGATTGTAAGGCTGTTCAGGACTCTTGCCTTTGGTTACTGTGGGTCTGCCAGGGGCTCCATTTGAGTAGAAACTCTGTAGTTCAGTTTTGGGTTCTGACTGCCCTCCCTAGCTTTCTCCAAACTGTGTGTTCATAATTTTAGCTCTGACACTTTTCTCTTCACCATATTCGAATCTTGTAATTGTCACCTTTGGATCACATAAGCTGGTATGCTTCTTCTGTGTGGACTTAGTTTGCTCCTCGTTTAGATGCTGCTTGCTTGAATACAACCCTTTAAGATCCCAGACACTTATTTCGATTGCTAGCTGGACACCATCTGTTTTCTTCACCACACTTTGCTGTAACACCCTTGTCTTTAGTGATCATTTCATGAAGTTGCCAATTTGCATTATTTGTATTGAGATGCCTTCCCCTGGTCTAATTATTGTTTCTTTGTATATAATGTGTGCCCCCTCCTTTTTTTCTGTCTCCTAACATGTCCTCTCTCTGTTTGAGCACATTGTTGTAACCACTGTGTCAGCCTGATCTTAGGAGGAATGTGCTCAGTCTTGCACTGTTGAATTTGATATTAGTAACAGTGCTTTCTGTTTCTTACGGAATTTGTTCCTTTGTCAGTCTACTCACGTGAAATTGCCGAAAGGTTCCTTATCATCTTTTAGTATCTCTAATTTCTGTACCGATGTTCTCTTCTTGATTTGGGCAATTATTAACCTTTGGTAATAACTAGAAGTTTATCAGTTTATCCTTAAAAATACCAAATTACTGATTTTTCTTTATTGTTTATCCATATTTTATATAAACAGCTTTAGCTGCTTATTAGTTTCTCCCTCCTACTTAGGCTTACCTTGCTTTTCTTTTTATAGCTTCCTGTTGTAGCACCTTTGATCATTGCTTTTAAACCTTCATTGTTTTTAAGATAAGTTTTTCAAAAAAATAAATTAAAAAAATAAAATGAAAAAAAAAAAAAAGATAAGTTTTTCGCGGAACCTGTGTTAAGTACAGCCTCTAAATTTTAATGTTTTATTTTCTTTTATCATTTAGGTACATTTTTTTCTGTTTTCTTTGTGATTTCTTATTTGACTTATAGATAATTTTAGAAGGTATGGTTTAATATCCAAATACTGGGGGTGTTTTCTCTTTCATTTTATTGGTGACTCATATAGCTCTTATCAGTCCGTCCGTCCGTCCGTCCATCCATCCGTCCATCCATCCATCCATCCATCCATTGTGTCAAGCACATTTGTGCATTTATTGTCATCATCATTTTCAAAATATTTTCTTTTTGCTTGACCCCTTGGTATCAGCTCTTTTGTTTTCCTCTCTCCCCCCTCATGAACCCTTGATAATTTATAAATTGTTACTATTTTTTCATGTCTTACACTGGCCGATGTCTCCCTTCACCTACTCTTCTGTTGTCCGTGCCCCAGGGAGGCAGTTACATGTAGTTTGGCTCCCCCTTTCTCCTCCCACCTTCCTACTGGGGGATTTTTAAATGACCTTTAAAAAAATAAAAATAAAAATTAATTTCTTAACTCAATGTTGGGACATAGATTTTATTTGATTCTTAATCATTTTAAATTTCTTCAGGCCCATATTGTAGCCCACCATATATTCTTAGCACATGTTCCTTGTATTCTAGTTGTTAGATAAAGAGTTCTAGAAATATCAATTAGATATAATTGTTAAATATTATTCCAGTCTTACAGATTTTTGTCTTAATTGTTTTGTTAATTAGAAAGATGTTGAAAATCTGTTAGTTTTTGTTTCATACATTTTGAATCGTTGTTATCAGGGGCATTTATATTTATGTGCTGTTATGTGTTCTTGATAAATTGACCCTTTTGTCATGATGAACTGTTACTCTTTTTAACTCATAATATTCTTTTTCCTGAAGACTGTTTTCTTTAATATACCATTCCAGATTTTCTATGATTAATGGTTTTGCATTGTTTTTACTTTTAGCCTATTGTATATACTCATGTATAAGCTGAGTTTTTCAGCACATTTTTAATGTAGTTTTTGTGGTAAAATTAGGTATCTCGGCTCAAACTTGGGTCATCTTCTACTCAAGTATATTCGGTACCTATGTATGGTTCTTACAGACTGAGCATAACTAGCACTTAATTTAAAAATCCAGCTGGCAATCTCTGCCTTTTAATTGGTCTGCTTGTTCCATTTATATTTGATATAAACACTGATATGGTTTGGGCTTGTGCCTGTCATCTGCTCTTTGTTTTCTATTTGTCTCATCTCTTTTTTTCTTTTTCCTTCTCATGCCATTTTAACTGTTCATCATTTTTTTCTTTGCCCAACCAACCTCTAAAGAGGATCAACTTTATCATAATTAATTGGATTGAGTTTCTTTCTTTACTAATTGATTAGTAAATGTTAATGGTCAGTGAAATACTAAAAGTTTTTGCTGTGTTTACTCAGGTAAATAGTTGACAAACAAACTCACTGTCATTGAATCAATTCTGACTCCTAGTGGCCCTGGGGCCCAGGGAGAACTGCCCCTGGAGGTGTCCAAGGCTGTACATCCTTGCAGGAGCAGACAGCCTCATTGTGCTCCTGTGCAGTGGCTGGCTTTCATTTAACCCGCTAATGTGGAACCCGCGATATTACCATTAACTAAATGACAGATAACGTTTTTTAAAAATACGTAACTTTATAAATTCATGAAACTTTTGGCAGTCTGCGGTTACTTAATTCTAACTTTAGGGAATTAGCCTCTGAGTCAGTTTTTCTTCTACGTTCAGGTAAGAGATCAAGCCCAGCGTGGCTCCCGTGTTCTCCTGGATATTGAAGCTGGTGCCCCTGTTCTCCTTATCCCTGAAAGTTCCAGATCTAATCATCTGATTGTAGCCAATCTGGGGAAGTTGAAAGTCAAGAACAAATTTCTCTTTGCTGGTTTTCCTGGGACCCGTTCCTTACAGGATAAGGTGAGCAATCTGTATCCATTTATTTTTCAGTCCAACTAGTATTTGACACCATTTGAAAATTTTGTATGCTACCTTAGTGTGACCTTAACTTCTGTCACTTTGTAGTTTATGTTGTTTAAATGATATTTTTTGTCCTTTAATTAAACATTTCAATGAACCTGCAGTAGAAGTAGGATAGTTTATAACCTTTTCAAATTATATGTAGCAACTTGTTTTACAAACAAATCAGTGAAAACGAAGCCTTCCATCTTTTATAATGCTTTTCTCAGAGTCTGATTGTGTAATATCAACATTTTGCTCTTTCTTAATTTATTTTCTAGAAGACATGATTTGGTCCGTAGCTATTTGAATAACTTAAATAATCCAGAGTTATTGGAATAATCTGAAGTTATTTAAAAATATCTTAATAATCTTATACATTTCAAAATTATCTACTAACTTCAAATAATTATGTTCAGAAGAAATACGGATAAAGATCATTGTTTCATTTTACATTTTGGAGAGCAAGTATTCACTGAGAATAAACAATTAAAATAGAAATAGCTGGCACATCGCAGAACACCGATAGCTGAGAGGAACTTGGAGTTTGTATTATAGAACAAATGCACGTTGGTAGCAATTCATTTTTATAGTTGAAGAAATTGGTCAACTTTGTTAGAACCCGAGGAGAAGTCTAATTCTTTGTGTGTGTTTTAATACCCATTTCTGCTTTTCAGGCCAGCCTCTCAGCTTATCTGCCCACTCATTGAAAACTCACTTTGGCATATCAGAAACACGTGTACTGAACTCCTCAGCTAGAAGTTCTCCTCTTAAGTGTAACAGCTAATAGCACAGGGAGATGATACTTTGAGGATGAGAATGTGCTTAAGATTTGAATGTAAGATCTTAGACCTAGGTGGACCTTATTGCCAGACACTGCTGTCCTCTGATTGTGTCTGTGTGTTAAGATGGTAATAATTGAATCAACAACCACTGATCTTTCACAGTAGGCCTAGTAACCTTGGTTTTAGTGAAGAAAATCTGTCTTCATAATAGAGGTAAATATTTGGCTGTTTACTTACTGATTTTTTAGAGTACCGTATATACTAGAGTATAAGCTGACCCGAATATCAGCCGAGGCACCTAATTTTACTGCAAAAATTGCATTAAAATGCTGAAAAAATGAGGACCTGATGCCAGGGGCTTAAGTGGAGAGCAAATGTTTTGAGACTGATGAAGGCAATGAATGTACAAATGCGCTTTACACAATTGATGTATGTATGGATTGTGATAAGTGTTGTATGAGCCCCTAATAAAACGATAAAAAATAAATAAAAAAAAAGGGATATAATGAAACTGACAAAAAAAATAATTAAAAAAACGTGCTGAAAAACTCGGCTTATACACGAGTATATATGGTACATAAAAGAAACCCCTACTTGTGTAAAAATAAGTTTGGTAGCTTTGTCTTCTCAATAGTCTTCATTAATTTCCCCTAATATTGATATTTAAAGCTATATAATTAGATGTTAAGCAAGTGTGTCAGAACCTGTGTTTGCACACGAATGCTGTCATTTGTTGCCACTTCAGAGTACTGCATCGTTGTTCAAACATTTGCTGCTGTTGCTGCTTAAAGCAGAATTGAATTTCACATGGGGAAGCATCTTCTGAGCCTGTAGTAAATTCTTTGGAGTATACTAAATTCGCTGGTGATAACTGTTAGTTTAGAGATCAGACTAACTATTTTAGGGAGAACTCAATTAGAGTAAGACTTGGGGGATGAAGTTAGACAATGATATATTTGTTTCTCTACCTTCTTTGAAAGGAAAATTGGACTGATTTTCCACATCAGATCTCCAAATGCTGGCTCACAAGTTGACTTTGAAGAATTGTCAAAATTGCCGCAGAAATTTCTGCAGACAGGCAGGCTTCCATTTTGTTAAGTAAGCCAAATAACAGCACACAGTGTGTAGCTTTTTAATGAACATTTTTCCTGTATTTGTTTTTTGAGGATTTGATTTTAAGTGGCGGTGCATACAAGGATCACTTTTTCTTCAAGGTATTATTATATTGCCTTTTTGGGGGGCCTCTTGGTTATTTTGAAAAACAAAAACACAAAAACCTTATGGGATTCAGCAGTCAATTCACATTCATATCTTTAAAAATAAGATAAACCCAAAGTGATGAATCTTTTAAAATATTTCACTAATTGGGAAAGCCTTCTTATTAAATTGTGTTTTTTTGTGACTATTAGAGAAGTCCTTCATGAAGACCATTAAACATCATTCCTTTCTTTGAGTCCTAGGTGTTACTCTCCTGATGATCTTGTTTTATGCCCGTAAATCGTAGAACAACTCATGCTTGTTACATGTTAGTGGTTGTTCTGTAGAATTCCATAAGGGTTACTCAGAGTATGTCTCTTGTTAAGTATTTGTGGTCACATAAACATCTTCCCTGCTCCCATCTGTAGTCACACTTAATGGACTTAGGCCTATAGGAAGTGAGTAATTGCCTTCCTCTTCAAAGATCACTTTGAATATACCTTTGCCTTTCATCCGTTTGCATGTGTGAGGTTTGTTTAATATGCAGCCCAGTGGTTGAAGAACAGGAAATAATCCTGAAGTCAAAGCTTGCCAGGGGTTGTTTATCCAGGAGCTCCATGATGCCTGTGTTTATGAACTTGTTTTACATAAATCCATGTTCTAATTGATACAGGTTGGAATTTGTTTTAAATATTTCCTTTCATTTTTCTCAACCTTGGCTGTGCTTAAATCATAATCTCTAAGATTCTTTCAGAAGCTTAGGGGTAATCTCCTCAAGCCACTGATTTATTTAAGGCCGACTACAGAGAGGCCAGAGAGATGAATCTAATCAAAGAACAACAAATACTCTCCTGGGTTTAAAATAAACTAAGCAAGAAGGAAGGTTTTTATGTTGAAAAACCCAAATACTGTAATAGCATTTACCTAGCAATTTGTCTTGTTACTTTGACTTCCTTGCTCTCTCCTCCAAGAAAAAAACATCTTGGCAGAAAGTAAGATCTTGTTATTTTACTACTGCTTGTACTTACTACTATAGCTATCCATGTAGGAGAGCACCATTACCATCCCCTTTTCAGACGCTGAGAGGAATCGCATAGAAAACAGCACTGGGAGGAGAGCCATTCATTCCCTCCTTCTCCCAGTTGTGCAGTTGTTGACAAACCCATGGAGAAGAGGTTGTACAGATACGCAGTTCACACTTGGGTGAAGATACCTTGGGGATTTAAAAAAATCAATTATTGAATCATTCTTGTGATATACATTTACCCTGTTAGCAATTAATCTAAGAAAACTGTGTAGTATTTTCAGTAGAGTTAAGGAATTTTATTCTCTATCACCATAATAAAAATGACTAAACACCTGTATTTTCTAATTTTTTTCTTTCATTTCCACACTTACTTAGATGAGAAAGTTCCTCCCTTGAGGGAAAGCTTCTGCAAAGTGCAAGCTTATTGCTATGGTCTAATTCCATCCAGACTCGATTGCTACTAGGTACATTTTCTTTAAAAGATAAGTCTGCAATGAAAGCAGCAGTACACCATGGAGTAGGGGTCTTCAAACTTTTTCAAACAGGGGGCCAGTTCACTGTCCCTCAGACCCATTGGAGGGCCGGACTATAGTTTAAAAAAAAACTATGAACAAATTCCTATGCACTGCTCCTATCTTATTTTGAAGTAAAAAAGCAAACGGGGCAAAAACGCCTGGTGGGCCAGATAAATGTCCTCATGTGGCCTGCGGGCGGGCCGTAGTTTGAGGATGCCTGCCATAGGGTCAAGAGGTTTGTTTTTGTGGCAACAGACCTAGATTAAATCACCTGAGACAATTAGATCTTTACATTTGCCCTTTCTTTCAAAGGGTAATGCCTTTCTGCAGCATTACTATTGTTTTCACTGGGTGCTGAGTTTTATGTAACATCTCTGAACATAAGTCCACGTGGCAATAAATGGCCTGAACTTATTACTTTGCTGTGTTTGGGGTCTGGGAGACTGTGGGAAGGGCTGAATATTGCTGAATCTTTAAAGTCCCCAAGGACCGGACCTCCAGGATTTTTAAAGGCACAAGTCAATTGCCCTCCCTTCACCAACCACCTTTCCTGAATTCTAGTTTTGTTTCTTTGTCCCCCGCCCAGGAATCTGCCCCTTCAGCCTCCCCAATGAATACTCCAACAAAACACAGTCTGAAGAAGATGTCAAGCACAGAGGACCCCAAGGGGACCCCTTCTGAGGGCCTGTTCATGAAGTCTCCCTCTGAAATAAGTCTAGGCTGTATGAAGAGTGAGTTTGTGCCAAGTGCCTTGACCAAGCAGCAAGGGCCACAATTCACACCCTCTGTGGGCCCAGTGTCCAGTAGTCCAGGTAAGAGAGGAGAGAAGTATTGGGTGAGGAGGGGAGGGAGCTTTGTGAGAGTGTTCCAGGAACCTGAGGGGTGTGTATGATGACCAAGCAGATGCTAATAAACAGATAGCATTTCTTTTGTTATCACCTGATTTTGATACTCCTTTAGAAAGCTGTTGGGAGAAAAATCAGGCCATCTGTTCCCATAGAGGTTTGCCATCTCAGAAAGCCTATGGGGTAGTTCTACTTTGCCCCATAGAATCACTATGAGTTGGAGTCAACTTGACAGCCATGAGTTTGGATTTGGGTTTAGAAGACTTAATGGTCTTAGGAGGTAAACATAGCATTAGATGACTTCTAAACCAAACCCACCACCACCAAGTCGATTCCAACTCATAGTGACCCTATGTAGGGTAACAGAGGCTGTAAATCTTTTAGGAGAGTATACAGTCTCATCTTGTGGTTTGAACTGTTAACCTTGTAAGTAGCAGCCCAATGAGTGACTCACTGTGCCATCAAGCCTCAGTGGATGGCTTCTGAAGTAGAATTCAATTAGCAAGATAGTCTAAAAAAAGAGATTTTAGATGGTTTATTAAAGGCCCTTTCCCATTGCTCAAGATGGTTGGCACTGGAAGGTGAAAGTATGACTGGAGCAATTAAGCCCGTATCCAGATAATAATTATAAAATGTAAGAAACAAAGCAAGCCTTTAGAAATTAGGTAGCAGCAGATATTAGTTACAGTTTTTAAAAGACATGATGCTTCTCCTTGTGGGTGCTTTTCTGTAGCATACACAAATTATCATTCCAAATGAGCGCTTGAATTTTGGCCTTTCTGTCTGAACGAGTTCTGGATAGGTATATTGTGTAAGAGAGAGAGGAAATGACATGGTTAGCCATGAAGATCAGCTCGATGTGATTGTACTTTGAGATCTCTAGGGCACCATACTGAGCTTCTGAAATTCCCCTTAGTGAGAGTAACACTGCCTTAGATTATGACAGTGGTTTCAAATTCCTCCCTGTGTTGCTAGAGAATTGCTAAAGCCTATAATACTTGAGCCCTGCCCCTTCTCCACACCAGTAACACTTTGAACCACTTAACAATATAATCAATTCATCAAGAGATGTTTAGTCATTGTTGTGATATTTGTTTACTGGTATACTACTGTGTCAGTCTGGATGGACTAGAGAAACAAATCTAGGGAGGTGCTCATGTGTATAAGAAAGAGCTTTATATAAAGAATAATTATACATTAAGAAAACATCCCAGCCAGCCCAGTCCAGATCAAGTCCATAATTCCGATATTAACCCATATGTCCAATACCAATCTATAAAGTCCTCTTCATACTCACAAAACACATGCAATGATGCCAAATGGAGGAAGATCGCAGGCCAGTGGGTGGGAAGTATTGTGGATCCAGTGGTGGTGTAAGCATCTCAGCGCTGGCATAGGTCTCCACGTGGCTCCTCCAGCTCAGGGCACTATTATAGTTCCATGTGCTTGTCAGCTGCAATGTCTCCCAGGGAGTGAGCCTGTGTCCCGCCTCCAGCAAGCTATTTATCTCCTTAGCACCTCCAAATGAGACCTGATTGACAGGCTAAACCCCACCCCTTCACTCTTAAGTCTCTCTCAAATTGATTATGTAACTACCACAACTAGCATGCAAGATTCGACATGGATCTTACCATGGTGAAATTTATAGGCTAGTAGGAGAGGCATGAAACAAACACATATCAAAATGTAGATTATGATAATGCAGTGAAGGAACAGATGGACGCCTGCGAGACAAAAGAACCGAGAGGATCCAATTGAGATTGAGCTAGAAGGGGTGTCACGGTAAGGCTGTCCAGGCAGCAAAGAGCTAGGTGTTTGGGGGAAACCAAAGCCATGGAGAATGAAGCACAAACATCCCAGTGAGACAATTCAATTTTGTCATTAATCTAGAGAGAAACTAAAAAAGCGACAATAAATAACTTGCCCAAACCCAAGAACTCTGCAGGGGGCCAGAGAGGGACTAAAGCCCTATTCACTGAGCAAGCCAGAGAATGGTTTGAAATGAGCGCCTTTTAGGGATTTTTTGAAGAGTGTTACATGAAGAATCGTAGATAAAGCAAGACCATTGAAGTATATAAAGGAAGGGAATGTATGGCCTGATATATTTTCTAACCTGTAGGACTTCTTAAATATTTTTCACTCACAATCCCTTTCGACTGAGAAATTTGTTAAGCCACCCCAGATTTATAGGTATGTAAATGTACGAAGTCAATGATTTTGACTGTAGTGTGAAGCATAACACCTAAGTGTAGTCTTCTTTTGTTTGTTAACTACGAGCGCACCTTGTTTATTCAGAACTGAGACTGCAGTCAAGTTGCGTAATGCAGCATGGGCATGCACTGCCAGGAACACCTCGGTTTTGTTACGTGTTTTATTTTGAATTGCTTTTTGGTCATTGTGCAGTCGCAACCTTTTACTGTTACCAACATTTCCTAACATTCAGTTATCTGATTCCATATGGTGGGGAAGGGACCCACAGTTTAAGCAGCTCTGCTCTCCAGGTTAACTTATTTATTTTAATGTGTGGCTGGGGAGAATGAATTTAGCAGGGCCAGAAATTAAGTAGGTATTTTGGATGGTCTAGTCAACAGCGAAGGTGGTTTGTATTCGGTCATTGGCAGAGGAAATAGTCACATGGAGTATTTGTTTGAAAAAGAAGTCTATGGAAAAGAGGAACTATTTGTGTAACATTGCCTCTATATAGACCCCTGTTGGATACTCTTGGGAAGGGTCGCATTAAATCATTTTTCGCCATAATCAGTTTAGCCTTGGTGAATACTGCACATAGGAATGAGACAGTGGGAGGACCCAGTGTGTCAGAATGTGTGTTGGCATGGAGGACAGGCAGGCAGGGAATATCAAGCAATTGAGCATTGCATAGGGCGGTCTTGGGCTGCGTTCGACATATCTGGACAGGCTGTTTTCAAGATGGGCCTAGGCAATGGTAAGTAGGGGAGATGAGAAGTTCTACACAGTTTTCTGGAGACAGAAACTACTTTTCTCTTCAGGGCTAGCCTTTTCTTGGTCCTTTTTCCTTAACTCTCTCTCCTTGGGTCCTTGTAGAAGACCATGTCTGCCTATTGGACTGTATTGTTGTGGACCTCCAAGACATGGACATCTTTGCTGCAGAGAGGCGGCCAAGAGAGTACTCTAAGGCATCCGAAGACAACGGGGGTGACCTGATCTTCCCTTCCTATTTTGTGCGACAGACAGGAGGAAGCCTCTTAACTGAGCCCTGTAGGCTGAAACTGCAGGTGGAAAGGAATTTGGATAAGTGAGTATTTCACATTTGACTCTCTTATATGTAGACTGTTGTTAGTGTTGGAGGTTCTGACTTACAGCAGCTATGTACAACAGAACTAAACAGTGCCTACTCCTGCGCCATCCTCTCAATTGTTATGTTTGAGCCTGTTGTCACAGCCACTGTGTCAGCCCATCTCGCTGAGGACCTTCCTCCTCTTTGCTTATCTGCTTTACCCAGCAGAACATTCTTTTCCAGGAACTGGTCCCCAGATAACACGTGCAAACTATGTGAGATGAAGTCTCTTCAGCCTTGCTTTTAAGGAACATTCTCACTGTACTTCTTTTCTTTTTGCTCTTCATGGTACTCTGAGTATTCTTTGCCAGCACCACAATTCAAATGTATTGATGCTCTTCAGTCTTTCTTAATTGAGGGCCCAGCTTCCACATGCGCAGGAGAACACTGCACTCTCTACTTTTCCAGTTTCTGAATTCCAAAATCCATTGCAATGGCCACAGAGAACTCACAAACGATATTCATGGTTAAAATGTTTGTTAAGGAAATTAACAGGTTGCAATGCAAGTGAGAAATTCCTAAAGGGCATGCCACTCTGCTGTCAGCCTCAAGCTCTGTGAGTCAGCAAGCCCGGCTCCCTGAGTTAAGTGTCTAGAGGCACTCTAGTCCGTAAGCCAGCCTCCTGTCCCAAAGCACGAAGCTTTGTTTTCTCTACGCTGCAAAGTCCACCAACCTGTTTCATGCTCTGGCTTCTGGTTCCACTATTATTCCTTGGATGTTACAGCTGTTTTCTGGATAAAGGAGGTTTGCTATGTAGGAGTCTTGGGGTCCAGAAGATGCATTCCACTCCCAACTCTTCCTGGTAGTGAGATCCACTCCACTGCTTCTCCGAGGGATCATTTTATATCCATCAGGATGGCTGGTCAATGAATTCTACTAACAGTTACTCACAGGTGAACACTACAAGTTCCAGCCTTCTTACACAGATGCACACAGGGAAAGGCTGCTTGTGGGGAGTTACAGAGACTTTGGCTACAAGAGCACCGTAAGTAAATCACTGCCCCTACAATGGTATTGCTATTCTTTTCCAGCCTCATAATTTAAATGTGTCAGTTCTTGGTCTTCCTATTTCGTTGTGTCCAATTTTTATGTGCATATGAGGCCACTGAAAATCCCTTGGCTGGAGTCAGGCACACCTTAGTCTTCCAGTGACATCTTTGTTCTTTAGTACTGCAAGGAGGTCGTGTGCAGGAGACATAACATGCTGTTTGATTTCTTGACCCTTACTTAATACCTTAGAAATTAGTGATATTAAGGTAAATCTGGGAGAAAACAGGTTTTCACTTATGTATTTAATGATTACTTGAGTCCCTACTATATAGGGTCGCTATGAGTCAGAGGTGACTTGATGGCAGTGAGTTTGAGGCCCTACTGTGCACTAGACATGAGGGGCTACTATGATGAAAGAAAACGTTTGTGTCCTCAAGAGTTTACTTCCTGTTGAGGGAAATAGGAAGGCCAGCAGGTGATCCTAATGTGAGTATATGATTCAGTGTTATAAACTTGATATAGGAGTTTGCGTTGCAGTCAAAGTGGAAGGGCATCTAGCGGATGGCAAGGGCAGGGAGAGTGTTCTGCAGGAGGAGACACTGGATTATGTGTAACATTTACAATAGATCTTGGATGGCTATTTACTCTGGAACTCCATTTAATCAGTCTAACTGATCAGGCGAGGTTTTGCCATTTCCTTCCATTTAGCTATCGAAAAATCTCCATAAATACGTATTCACCTTTTAATACACCTGGAGATACAGCATGCTAATTTCTGTGGTGGAGAGCATTGCTTCCGTTATCAGTTCATATCTGGCTGGAAAACTTTTTCAAAACATAGGTTCCCAAACTACTCCCCCTCCCCCCCAACCCCGACTCTCCCGGCTGATGTGCAGTGTCCTCCAGGGGTACTTTTGCCAGCCTGACCCCAGGGAGGGAGCCCCCTGACTGCACAGTATGTGACCTCAGTTTTGAGGACTGGAATTTGGAGGGAGCAGTGATGTGTGACTATGCAGTCATGCAGGAGATCTCCATTTGTGGCATTTTGGAGAGCAGTCTGATTGCTTGAGTAGCATGGGACTCTGTCCCTCTCTGGCCCTGCCCTTGGGCTTGGGCAAGTCATTGAATGTAACTTTGTCCTTCTTTGCTGAATGAATGATACAAGTTAGCTGTTCTTGCTGGATGTTTGTGTTTCAGTGTCTCTTGTTACTCTTGCGCTCCCTGGCTGGTGCTGAGTTGTGGCTGGCCTGGGCTGGATTTGCCTTTATTAGCTTTGCAGTCTTAAGAGTAGTTTCATTATTTAGAACTCAGACTTTTTGTTTTCTTTTCAAGCAATGCTTCTTTTAAAAAAGTACTTTGCTGTTCTGCTTATCTAAACGTTACCCATATCCATCAGTATTTATGCACAGATATGAAATTCTGATATAATTATACCAGATAGAAAGTGAAACTGAACACAGGTATTCTATCAGCTCCTCACATCACAGAAATGTACTTGTTAGCCTCTTCCTGTGATTCTTTGTTGATTGCGTCATTGGCCTCTAATTTCTGTATTTAGGTTTCTTTATAGACAAAGTGACTTTTTAATATTCTTTTTACATTTCAGTTCCTAACCCTCTGTTTTATCTCTCAGAGCATAGCATAATATCTGTAGGATCCCTCATGCCCACCTCATCGATGTGATTTTACAGCAAGTTCCTCAGTTTTGGGATAATGTATTTTCTCCCCACTAGCAGGTGGTGTAGTAGTTATCCATTGGATTGTTAACTGCAAGGTCACTAGTTTGAAACCACCAGCCACTCCTTAGAAGAATGATGTTTTCTACTCCCATAAAGAGTTACAGTTTTGGAAACTTACCAGGGAAGTTTTACCCTACCCTATTGGGTTGCTATGAGTCAGCATTGACTTCATGGCAGTGAGTTGAATGAGAATAGTGTTTAAAGGAGCCCTGATGGTTAAGCACCCCAGCTGCTAACTGAAAGGTCGACAGTTCAAACTCACTAGCTGTTCTGTAGGGTCGCTATGAGTTGGAATGGACTTGACAGCAATGGGTTTGGTTTAGCAGTGCTTCCATGCTGGGCTGTTAACCTAAAGGTCTGCGGCTCAAACACTCGGCTGCTCATGGGACAAAGATGTCCTAATCACTTCCTTAGATTCCATCCTTAGCAGCACTACGAGGCAGTCTCCTCTGCCCTACTTGGTTGCTATGAGTTGTAATTGACTCAGTGGCAGTAATTTTTTATTTAAAAAAAATTTTAGGGCCTTTCTTATCTTCAACTTTATTTCTGCCCATCTCAACTGCAATGGATAACTTTTTTTCTTATGTATAGCCTGGGTTCAGTATGAAACACTGATTTCTTCCTTAAAGCAAGCAAGCAAACAAACAAACAAACTGGTTGCTGTTGAGTTGCCCTTGACTCATGGCGACCCAAGAGTAGAACTGTATTCCAGAGGGTTTTCACTGGCTGATGCCTTGGAAGTAGATGGCCTTTGCCAGGCCTTTTTTTCTGAGGTGCTTCTGAGTGGGCTCACACTGCCAGCCTTTGCCTAGCAGCTGGGCACACTGACCGTTTGTACCACTCAGAGATTCCTCTTTCCGTTAGTTGTCACTGAATCTGAAGAATTAAATAAGGAGTTCGGTGTCTTTTCATTACTGCTTTCCTAACTGCAATGGCAGGCTATTTCTGGGCTGCATGAGGTCTTTCTTTACTAAGACTAGTTAGATCATGATATTAGCTTTAAGGATTTTCTACATGAAAATTTGGGGAGCCAAAAGGAGTGCAGGACACCCAGTCATACGAATTTGCTTCATTTGGAGCCACATTAAATTGATGTCCTTGGGAGTGTAGGAGGCCTGTTAGGGCTTGATCAAGAACCATGTAATTGAGAGAAATTACTGAAACCCAAATGAAGGCTGAGCATGATAGTGGGACAAGAGGAAAGTAAAAGGAAATAGAGGAAAGAACTAGGAGGCAAAGGGCATTTATAGAGGTCTAAATACAGATATGTACACATATAAATATATTTATGTGACAATGGGGAAATAGATCTATGTGCACCTATTTATAGGTTTAGTATTAAGGTAGTAGATGGACATTGAGCTTCTACCCAAGTACTCCCTCAATGCAAGGATACTTTGTTCTATTAAACTAACATTCCATGATGTGCACCTTCCTGACATGATCACCGTTGACAAAGTGGGTGCGTAAGCAAATGTGGTGAAGAAAGCTGATGCTGCCTGGCTATCAAAAGATATAGAATCTGGGGTCTTAAAGGCTTGAAGATAAACAAGTGGTCATCTTGCTGAGAAGCAACCAAGCCCACATGAAAGAAGCACACCCGCTTGTGTGATCACAAGGTGTCGATGGGATCAGGTATCAGGCATCAAAGAACAAAAAAATCATATTATTGTGAATGAGGGGGAGTGCGGAGTGGAGACCCAAAGCCCATCTATAGGCAATCGGACATCCCCTAACAGAAGGGTCACGGGGAGCAGAGGAGCCAGTCAGGGTGCAGTGTAGCACCAATGAAACATACAACTTTCCTCTAGTTCTTAAATGCTTCCTCCCAACCACTATCATGATCTCAATTCTACCTTACAAATCTGGCTGTACCAGGGGATGTACACTGGTCCAGATAAGAACTGGAAACACAGGGAATCCAGGACAGATGGTCCCTTCAAGACCAGTGGTGAGAATGGCCATACTGCGAGGGTGGAGGTTAAGGTGGGGTAGAAAGGGAGAACCTATTACAAGGAACTGCATATAACCTCCTCCCTGGGGGACGGGCAACAGAAAAGTGGGTGAAGGGAGACATTGGACAGTGTAAGACATGACAAAATAATGAACCCCCAATAAAATGATTTCAAAAAAAACGAAAAAAAAAATTTTTTTTGTCCTCGGAAATTAGAAATGAACTGATTGCTAATGTAGGTGGAAGGAGCCTTGGTGGCGTGGTGGAACTAAGCATTGGGGTTGGGATACTCATCACAAAGCCTGAAGTTCAAAACTACCAGCTGTTCCACTGGAGAAAGAGGAGACTGTCTTCTGCCATGAAAAATTATGGGAAGACTTCAAAGAGGCTGTGGAAAAATTATTTCACCCTTTAACTCAATTTTCTAAGAACTTTTTGAAGTGCCCTTGTAGAGTCTTAGGAATGCTCTAGAGAAGTTCTTCTCGGTCCTACCAGGTCACTCTGAGTCAGAATTGACTCAACGGCAGTGGGTTTGGCCAGGTTGAATGTAGAGGGGCACAGTTTGGTTCTCACATTTGGGGTGTGAGCTATCTCAGCACCACGTTAGTGATTTTCTGGTGCAAGTGATCTTTTTTTCTTTTTCCACAGAGAAATAAGTCATACTGTGCCAGATATATCTATCCATGGCAACCTCTCCTCAGTCTACTGCTCCCTGGATTTGTATAAATACAAGCTGGTCCGTGGCTTATTAGAGAACAACCTTGGGGAGCCCATAGAGGAATTTATGCGGCCGTATGATTTACAAGATCCAAGAATTCACGTGAGTGGGACCTTATGTTGTTCTGTGACTCCTACCATCCCAGCCAGTGATCACCCTATGTATGTAGTCCTCAGACTCACCTGGGGAATGAAGGCGGACAAAGCAAATTAACTTTCTAGTCATATTAACCTGATGTGAAGCTTGGCTTCATCCATTAGAAATTGATCCCTATTTTCCTTTTGTAGACTGTCCTGAGTGGAGAAGTGTACACTTGCATGTGCTTCCTCATTGATATGGTAAACGTGAGCCTGGAACTTAAAGATCCAAAAGGAAAAGAAGGGCCCGGGTCCCTAGCCAGGTATGGCCTTATGAACACCATTGTATTTATTACTAATTGTGAAAGTAGTACAAACAGCACAGCTGCTTCTTTTGTCTTGTTTGCATTGGCTTAGAGCAGCGGCTGCAGTGGTGGTCCCCAGACTGAGTGTGAGCCACAGTGTGCCTTGATTGCTCTACTGTGCTTCCTAGATGTTGAAATTCATTGTTGCTTCAAACCTGTTACATTCATGGTGATTCCAGCTCATGACTGCCTTTAGGACAGAGTAGAATGCCCCAGTGTGTTTCCAAGGTTGTGATCTTGGAACTTACCAGGGTCTTTAAACAAGAACGATGTAGTCCTTCCTCAAAGAACTTGTCCATTCCGGGTCTCATTGTTGGCTCTCAAGTTGACAGTAACCAGCATCTTGATGGGCCAAAAACAGGTGCTGGGGGCTCTGGAATGACAATGAAAATATTCTGATACAGAGGGGCCAGGAAGGAATTTTACTGTAAACCTGGAGACCCAGAATCACTTAGTGGGCTAAAATGCAGAAATTTGGGAGTTTTATAGAAAAAGTCTGGATCTCAACTTCTTTTGAAAAAATTGGAAGCTTTGTCACTACTGGGTTCATATTCTCATTTGAAAGTATCTGGAAGCTGGGTAGCACTTGCTTCCTTTGCTTATTTATATCACTTGCAAGGTCAGTGTTGACATGAATTGCAATTAGCAGTACAGAATTTTAGGAGCCCTGATGGTGTAGTGTGTTACATGTTGGGCTGCAGTTTTAGCAGTTTGAAACCACCAATCACTGAGGGGAAAAGATGAGGCTTTCTATGCCCAGAAAGAGGTCGTCTTGGAAACCCATGTGCAGTTCCCCTAGGGTTGCCATGAGTCAGAATTGACTCAGCAGTAGCCAATTTGGCCTTTTTTCTTTGGAGTTAGAACCACCTCTTGTCTGTCGGAACCAAACCCACGGCACCCACCTACAGCAGCCTGAACCCCACAGAGTGCAGTGCATGTTCATTTAGCAGGAGCTCAGTTTTCATTTTGATCTTCTAACTCTGTAAGATAGCAAAGTAGACATTACCCCTCCTTTCCAGATGAAATGTTGACTGGCATAATAAAAAAATAATAATGTCACGTGGCTGGAAAAGTTGTATACCCCGTATTTGAAAGCAAGACTTTAAAGCTAGTATTTTCCTTGCTGACCCAGTCTATCTTCTGTTTCATCTTTCCCTTGAAAGCCTCGTGTGCTCACTTATCTAATTCAGCTGATGAGACTGTGGTATGACATAGCCCCGGCCCCCGATGGATAGTGACCCAGCACTCTCTCCATGGTGACTGACTGCTAACTAGAAAAGTATTGTTCTCAAATCATAGACACTTTTAGTAAACAAAAACAACAAAAGGTGAAGCTGTTGTTTCTGACCAGATCCTCTATCTACGCCCTTCTCAAGGTGGTGTTCCCGTTGCTCTAACCCTTCCTCGACTCCTGTGCTCTCTAATTGACACGAGGTCCAAACGGCTCGTTTGGCACCCTAGAAGGACTCAAGTTGTGTTCTTTTTCAATGTTCTTGGGGTGGGGAACAAAGAGAAGTCTGAAGGGTATGAGCAGGGCCGTAGGGTAGATGGGGTGAGGTTTCCAAGGAGATTCTCAGAAGACAGCCCGTGTGTGCTCCTTTTGAAGAGTAAGCAGGTACATTGCTGTGTTGGGGGAAAAAATCCCTCAGCACCACCCATTTGTCCTTATCCTTACCAAGGCAGTTTGTTCCCGATTCTAAAAACTTCTTCGTAATGAGCGTCTGTGATTGACCTGTCTTCCTCTGAGAGAATCTGTCAAGGTTCCAAAAAGCAGTTGCCATGAACTGTGAGCTAACGTCTCTGCCTTGAATTTACCTAGCCTCGTAAATTCCCTTGGAAACCACTGTTTTGAGGCCCTTTTTGGGAAGACATTCCAGAGAGATTAACACAAGTGTATCACCGAGAGAACTTGTCTGCAGTCATCCACTGATCACAGACACATGTAAACACATTTTGTTTGGAGTAAATGCATATGTGTATAAATTGGAACTCCTATAGCAATACTTTTTGACTTACTTGTATTGTCATGATCTTACTAAATATGAATTGCTCACTGCCGATTTCCATACTTTTGAAAAACGGGAGTTCCAAATATGTTCTTGTTGGTGAATTAGTTGTGTGATTTCTCTATATGAAGAGCATCATGGGTTCCAAGGAAACTGTCCTTACCCCACTGCTACCAAGTCAACGCCTGCTCATAGCAACCCTAGAGGATAGAGTCAAATTGCTCCTTGGGATTTCAGAGAGTTAACATTTTTATGGGAGCTGATCATCTCACCTTTCTCACGAGCACCGACAGGTGAGTTTGAACTGCTGACCTTGGGCAGTTCAGGAAGCTCTAGTGGTCTTAATTAGAATTCAGGTAGATGAGAGACAGAATCTTCTAGGAAGGCTAGTTGTGTGTAGAGGAAAGACCAGACTATCTGAGCATGACACGAAAGGACATTAATTTCCTGATCTAGCAGAACTTTGATAAGTGAAGTAAGCAATTCTATTGTGGATTCTAGAGGGATGAGAAAGAGTTTAGAGATTGTTACAGATTTATGAAATACCTTAGATTTATGGTAGGGAATAGGAAGGCAGATGAACAAATGTAGTAACTATGTGGTATTGTCAACCCTCATGAAGGTCCTATGAGTCATCTCTTTGGAAATAGAAAAGAAAGAAATTGAAGCCCAACATACCAAATCCACTTATAACAGAATCAATAAAAGACCTCTGAATGACTTGAACTTCCTTCATTATTTTGTAAAACGAAAGAGTTATGTTTAACATCGTATTCACTCTCTCTCTCCCTTAGATTTGACTTCAAGAAATGTAAATTGCTCTATGAGAGCTTTTCCAACCAAACCAAGTCCATTAACTTGGTTTCCCATTCCATGATGGCATTTGACACCCGCTATGCTGGGCAGAAGACAAGCCCTGGTGTGACAAACGTGTTCAACTGCATCTTTCAGCCCTCCAAGAACAGCAGCACCACCCAAGGGTCCATTCAGATTGAACTACATTTCAGGTAGTAGGGCCCAGCCCTTGAGACTCTGCCTGATTTTGTGAAGATGTTGCCCATCGTGGCCAGCAGGCCCAATCCATCTTGGCTCAATGACAGCTAAGCATTTAAGGACTCACTAAAAAGATGAATAGACAATGATTGAGCAATTCAGTATACTGCATATTAATTTATCATTTCTATAGCCTTGCAGTTTCATGAGTTAGCCAAAAGATGTCTCTGTTGCCTTTCAAATAACAGTAGTTCACTTGAAGCCTGGTCCTTGTCCCCTATGAGCTGCAAACAGTTTTAAAGTAGAGAGCAACTTGGGGAGGAAGGAAATATTCTGGTTAAGAAAGAAGGAAAACACGGACATTTTATTTATGTAAATAATCAAAGGAAAGGTGATTTAGATTTGAATGATCTGTTCATCGAATTAAGCTATACTGACCCACTTCTCTATCCATAAAGAGCTTTAGCATTTTTGCACTACATCACACTTGGCTTCTTGGTGTTATAGGAGCCAGTGTTGTATGAGGAAAGGGCAGAACTGGGCTCAAAACCTTCATCAAGTGCTTCCTAGGTGTGGGTCCTAGGGTAAACTGTGGGTCGTGTTTTCCCCATGTATAGTTTGCCCATATATATATAAACATTCTATATTCTATATATATAATATATATATAATTCTCTCTATATATCTATATATAAATATGTAATTCTCTATATTTAATATATAGATTCTATATATAATGCTTATGAAAATAACATGGGCAGGGTGGATTTGTGTACGTATTGGGAAAACCATGTAAAGCATGTATTATTTGTATGAAAATACAGTAAGCTCTTCGAGCAGCAATTTTTTTCTTCTGTGAAATAGAAATAACAGTTCCCATCTCATAGGGTTGATGGAAAAATGAAATGGGGTAAATCTTGGCACAGATGGTAGCTATTATTGCTATTCCTGATGTACATTGTATTTTGTGACATATTACTATGACATTTGATGATTAAGGAGCACAGCTTTGAAAACTGAAAAAATTAAAAAGTTCATTAAAGAATTCCTTTAATTAAAATCCAGAAGCAGATCTTGGGAACTGATGTCATTTTTGTTCAATGGACATTTAATGGCATTAGATATGTTAGAAAGAAGAGCCAGTAAGTAGGGTGACTGGGAAACTCATCAAGCATATTCTTGTATTCATATATGCATGACATTTCTATGAGCTGTTTGTTGGATTCCTCAGAGTTCAGATTTTTTAGGGTGAGGTCACAGTGTCACCATGTTCCTTTAGATAGTCTGGCAAGCTAATTTCTTAGATGAACTTTTAAAAAGTCCAACAATAGGAGTGCTACTTGCCTTTTAGTGAGTCTTACAATGAGCCAGATATTTTTGCTTACATTTACTTTAACCCCCACGGCAAGACTGCAAAGTAGTTGACTTCTTCCTCATATTGTAAATGCAAAAGCAAAAGCTTAGAGAGGTTAAGCCACTCTTGCAAGGTTCACCCAGCTCTGAAGTGGAGTATCTGGACTTCACCGCCCATGTCCTTTCTAACAGCCTTGAGCCCACCAGGTTTCTAGCTATTGGGCTTACTGCCCTCAGATAAGATGGTTGTGATTTGCACTTCCTTTCTTTAAGATGATGTTTACTAGAGTAGGAGGCTCACACCACACATCTTTGGTCCATCTGCAGATAAAATTTCTTTGTGGCTTTGCTTTATTAGTATTGATGCCATTTCTTAATCTATCAGCGAGCTTTTCATCTATCACCTTTTTAACATGTAAGAAGACTTGGAGCCTTGAGCCCAGATCGCTCTGGGCTTTGCATGTCCCCTTTGGTATATAATTTCTTGGAATCAATGATAAAAACCTTACCTTGGCTCTTGCTAACAGAAATACCATTGTTAGTGAGAGGGTTAAAATGCTGTCTTGATTGCAACTTTTGAACGCTTCTGTGTCTCCAAGAAGAATTACTCTTCTGTTAGGATTTTGTGTGTCAGACATAAATCACTTCACAGTGTTTAAAGGCTTGAAATACTTTCCAGAAAAGGGATCAAACATACTTGGACTTTCCAGTGAGTGCTAGCGCTTACAATCTCTGTTCAAAATAGGGTGGAAAAATTTTCACTGAAGGGCAACATTTTTTCTCTATTACTAAAGGAAAAGTGTGTTTGTGGAAAATGCTGGGTCTCTGTGGAGGGAGACATGCATCATTATGTCCTTTCTCTGGAGGCTTTGAGCCAGGTTTTGGAGAAACGAGGGAAGAGAGAAGTAGGCTTAGCAGTGTCTCCAAATCTGCCTTTCCTCAACAGGAGCTCCTTTTAGGGCAGGGGACCAGGTACTCGTAGGAACTGGAGTTCCGGCTTGCTTTTTTGGGCTTATAGAATCCGTTTTCATGTCGAATGCCCTATAGGGCTATTCTTGGAGTGTCGTGTCCCCCCACCCCCCCTTCTCCTCAGCCCTGCCTATTCACAGGTGCTCGATAAGGCCTTTACCATTGGAGGATGAGCACAGGCCTGAGATTCCTCCTTGGGCTTCACCAGATACAGAATTCGGGGGATTGGGAGATAGCATCTCTTCTTTCCCCATTGTCCCTGTGCCTGCCTCTCCAGAGTGCTTGGAGACATGCCCCTGGTGTCTGCCATCTTGCTTGTTGTCTTTCTCAGGTTCAAACAGCTGGGCCCTCATGTCCGTTTCAGCTAGAGAAACCATACGTGTATATCAGCGTGGGGTTGATAAAGCAGTGTCTCTTTCTGTCCTAAAGAAAGAGTGCTTCATTAGCCTTTGAAATCGCCTCTAGTGAAGAGAAGTGATACCTACTGTGCACCTTTACCTCTTAGAATTGTTCTCAGTTTACACGTGAGGAAACGTTCAGAGGAAGTGGGTTAACTCATCAATGGCAGTTGGGATTTAAGCCTGGGTCTCTGACTTCAAAGTTTGTGCTCTTTTCTTTACATTTGGGCTCCTCACCATGTGCACTGTTGATGTTTTGGGGTGAGATCATTCATCCTTGTGGGGGCTGTCATGTACATTGTGGGACTGGTAGCACCATATCTGGTCTCTCCCCATTAGATACTAGTAGCAGCCCCCCACCCTGGCCTTCCTTCCAATTACAACGATGAAAAATGTCTCCAGGCATTGCCCAGATGTCCCTGAGAGGAGAAAATCACCCCTGGTTGAGAACCACAATACTGCTTCCTTATCTATTTAAATCTATTTAAAAATAAGATTTCAATTTGAGAAATGTTCTCTGTGTAATTAAGCCAGTGTTCAGAATTTACTGATAATTAATATTGTCAGTTTATAGAAAATACTGGATTACCAGCTGAAGCTAAGTAATATAGCCATTATTAAAATTTTTATCATGAAACTTTTTCTGTTTTCTTGTAGATCTACTAAGGACTCCTCCTGTTTCACAGTAGTTCTTAACAATCTCCGTGTGTTTCTCATATTTGACTGGTTACTGTTAGTCCATGATTTTCTCCACACTCCCAGTGACATTAAGAAACAAGATACCGTTAGGCCTGCTCGACACCGTAACTCTAGCAGCGAATCCACTGTCATTCCCAAAACTGTGAAGAGTGGGGTAGTCACCAAGCGGTCTTCCCTTCCTATGCCCACTGAAAGGCACCTGGAGGTCAAGGTCAATGTAACAGGTGAATATTTATATATATGTGTGTGTGATTTATGGATTCTTAATTTGGTTGCTAATTTCAAAATGTGTCTTACAGATTGACTTCTCTTTGGCCTTTCGTTTTTTGAAACAGCACTATGAGGCGGCTTACGGAAGTTGGTGGGAAAGTGGAATGAAATGAAAGTGGAATTTTTCCACAGACTTTTTTTGATCCCTCCCACGTTTATATTTGCATCATTTATAGACCAGTGGATGCCAGAGTTCTTGACCTCTGGTGTTCCGTGATGAACTGCCTGGCCCACACCGAAGCTTGCAGTGGTGGTTGTCCTCCTCTGTCAGTGAGGAATTTCAACAAGTTCATGGGAAATTCCATTCTATTTTCATTCACTTCCTCATAGACCTTTTGGTGGCCATTCCTAGTAGTTTGCCTGTTAAGCGTGACCACTCTCAAACATCCACTCGGGCGGTGGCTTTTCCCCCACTGTTAGATGCGGCTTCAATTTTCTATTTGGTTTTGAGTACCAGTCGATGTGCTTTACTGAATTGAGGCAAGTTTGTTGCGCACAGTCCCCACGTTACAAACTGAAGTTACAAACATCTGGCTTAAATATAGCCCACAGTTAGGAGCTAACCACTGTAAAGCCTATTACATTAAAAATTCAAGTTACATACAGTGGTGTCCATTATTGAAAGGGCTACATTAAGATATTCATCATAACATTATTATTACTACCGTATTATCATGTTAGATATTTTAGTGTACTGGAAGTTTTTTTTTAACACTTCTTATACATAGAAAGGTACACTATATACTAAGACAAACACGTGACAAATTTGGTATGAACCGTACCTTAACTATTCCAATTTCAAGATAGATTTAGGAACAGAGCTGCTTTGTAATTTTGGATGTGGAAATCTGAGTTTAGAAGATAAGTGAGTGAGGCGATCGCAGGGCCTTGGACCAGTTCATTCCGATTGATCTTCTACTGGAAATTTGCATTTCTACCCACAGATAGCTGCATCTACAAGTGATTGTTGGAGATTGCCAGGCGACCCTTATGTATGTCCGTTTGGGAATATTGTTAAAATGTAGATTCTGATTCAATATATCTAGTTTGGAAATGCAAATTCTCAACTGTGGGTCAGGTCAGAATGAACCAGCTTGAAGTCCCGGGGTATTGTTACTTTCTTTACAAGAAGAGTGCTTTCAGTCCTCAGACTGTGACTGAGTTCCCTTCCTAAGTTGAATTTGTATGGAAGCTGGTACCGTGGTCATCTATGTCAGTTAGTCAAATGTTTATCTTAATTTTATGGTATGTGGTTTACCTTTTTAAATGACATTAAAGAAACACTTTCAGATACACAAACGCATCTGAAACATAATACAGAAATGATCATGTTTTGGTGGACATTGAAAAGTAATGCCCGTTTGTTATTCCATACAACCCTGAATTTTTAATGTAATAAACTTTACAGTGGTGGGTTCATAATTATGAGTTGTATGCAAGTCAGATATTCACAGTCCAGAGACTGCCCTCTATTTTCTTTCACAAATGGGTCTACTGTTTTTTGCTTGTTTGTTTGTTTTTGTTAAGTGGAAATTCACTTAGTATATCTATATGTATTTGTGAATTTATTTTTATGTTTGTGATATCCTCTACCTACTTCTCAGTGGTTTTGGAGAATTTAATTAGCATAGAACATTTTAAATGGATTTGGTTTCATGCATTCACCGTGCACTTTTTGACGAAGACACCGTGGAAAGCAGTGGGAACTTGCCGTATACAAAGGAATTGAAACTGCATCTAACCATTTTGTGAATCTCTGCATTAACGTGGCCTACTTTCTGAATGAGCCACTTGGAACAACTGGCATAAAGACAGAGTGCCCTGTCTGTGTCAGGAACTCCACTGTCTGAATCTACATCCTTTGACTTCCAAGCAGATCATTGCTTGGAGAAGGGGTGATTTTCTCTGCTATGCCTGGGCAGACGCAGAGCACTTGTTCTGGAGGACAGGGAAGCGCAATGTCAGCAGACACCTCGGAGCACAGCGCTTCCTGGCTAATGTGCTCCTCTGGCTCAAGCGTGCTGTTCAGTCCGTGGCAGCTTGGAGTTTTCCAGCTTCCCAGCTTCAGCTTGAATGATTTTGCTGTCCCTTCCAGGCACAGAGTTTGTGGTGGTTGAAGACGTGTCCTGCTTAGATACCAACGCCATTATTCTGAAAGGCACCACCGTGCTGACCTATAAGCCTCGGTTTGTTGATCGACCCTTTTCTGGAAGTTTGTTTGGCATTGAGGTAAAGAATCTTAGTGTTGATCAGAATACTATGTGTTTGACTAAAGAGAAAAAACATCTGCAAGAGACCTTTATGCGGGTGAGGTGGGGGGCTGGAGCTTAATTAATGGGATTAGAAGACCCTTTGCCCTGCTCATCTCTGGTTTCCCTTCCAATCTGCCAGGGTATCCTAAAGTATAAATTTAGTCCTGACGCTTTGAACGGCAGAGGGTTTACACTTCTTTTACTCGCCATTTCTCATGGGCTTCTGGGAGGCTCTTCTTGGCCCCGGGACTGTGGGAAGCACCATGTTGTTAGTCCAGTTCCACAGGCTAGTCTTTGACCAATTTGTGAAGGTGAGGAAACACTCTTCCCCATATTGAGTGTTTGTCCCTAAGAAGAGCGAGGCCTTGCGGTATTGGAAATGAATGTATAAAAGGTATTAAGGATTTTATGAATTATCCTTTCCACCCTAAATGTCAGCTCTAGAGAGATGTACAGTGGAGAGAAGTGAATCTCTGCCTGATGCTTAGGCTCTGCTGGACTCTCATAGAGAGATAATCTGCCTCTGTAGCCTGTAAATGACATTAGACAGTGCTAAGCAAGCATCCGCTGCCTTCTTTTAAGGTTTGTGTTGCAGACAGAAGGGGACATGCGAATGAGGATTGTTTCTTTGGAATCTTCTCAGTTCCTGATCTCAGCTAGCATGTTTCTTGTTAGCATTGGTCAGGGCTGGGTAGGTCATGGTGACTCCTCATATTCTGTCCTTTTACAGTTGAACTTCTCATGTACTTTTCTTTCTAGTGGTGTTGCTCACAGGCTGACTGAAACTTGTTTTCACCGTCAGCTGCATGTATATGAGGGGGCTGTGAAACGTTCATGGAAAAATTCCATTCAATTTTGCTGACTTTTTGAAGTCCCCTTGTGTGTGTATTATCAGATATAGATGACTGAAACAGACATGTAGAGATTTCACTTTTTTTATCACTTAATTTTCCTCGTGTAAAGAAACCTCCACTCAAGAGGGAGGATTTGCCTGATGGTATAGTGTGAGTTGCAGTTCATCTGCTCTCTAAGCCACAACAATACCAGCTTTGAATGGAGCATCTTGGTGATTGATTAATGAACTGTCAGGTACAATTGGGTCCTGTGTAGCACAACCCCCCCGAAGGAAGAAGAAAAATGAAGCTTTTCTGTCCCAAAGTCTTAGGAAAACTCTGGCAAAATATTTCAGATTCCTGGAAACGCCTTTTAGTCTTGCTTTTTAGGCAACACAGTTGGATCATAATTTTAAGACCTTCTCCGTACATTGCTGGGAAGAATTTTTTTTTTCAGTTCTTTTTTTTTTTTATCATTTTATTAGGGGCTCATACAACTCTTATCACAATCCATACATACATCAGTTGTATAAAGCGCATTTGTACATTCATTGTCCTCATCATTCTCAAAACATTTTCTCTCCACTTAAACCCCCGACATTAGGTCCTCATTTTTCCCCTCCCTCCCCGCTCCCCACTCCCTCATGAGCCCTTGATAGTTTATAAATTGTTATTTTGTCATATCTTGCCCTGTTCGACGTCTCCCTTCACCCACTTTTCTGTTGTCCATCCCCCAGGGAGGAGGTCACATACAGTTCCTTGTAATCGGTTCCCTCTTTCATACCCACTCTCCCTCTACCCTCCCTGTTTTGCCACTCACACCACTGGTCCTGTAGGGCTCATCTGCCCTGGATTCTCTGTATTTTCAGTTCCTATCTATACCTGTGTACATCCTCTGGTCTAGCCAGACTTGCAAGGTCGAATTCGAGTCATGGTAGTGGGAGCGGGGAGGAAATATTTAGGAACTAGAGGAAAGTTGCATTTTTCATCGTTGTTACATCGCACCCTGACTGGCTCGTCTCCTCCCCGAGACCCCTCTGCAAGGGGATCTTCAGTGGCCTACTAATGGGCTTTGGGTCTCCACTCCGCACTCCCCCCATCATTCACTATGGTAAGATTTTTTGTTCTGATGATGCCTTATACCTGATCCCTTTGACACCTCGTGGTTGCATAGGCTGGTGTGCTTCTTCCATGTGGGCTTTGTTGCTTCTGAGCTTGATGGCCGCTTGATTACCTTCAAGCCTTTAAGACCCCAGACGCTATACTTTTTGATAGCTGGGCACCATCAGCTTTCTTCGCCACATTTCCTTATGCACCCATTTGGCTTCAGTGATCCGTTCGACACCTCGTGGTCACACAGGCTGATATGTTGTTCCACGTGGGCTTTGTTGCTTCTGAGCTAGATGGCCGCTTGTTTACCTTCAAGCTTTTAAGACCCCAGACGCTATATTTTTTGATAGCCGGGCACCATCAGTTTTCTTCACCACATTTACTTAATTTTAAGGTGGTACAGGAGCTCATGTTGAGTCTAGCAGAGGATGCTGGTGTAGCTTGTATTCTCAGTGGTGGTAGATAATGCCTAAAAGTGGGTGAGGGGGTGTCAAGGGAGACCAAAGTGAATGTTCTTTCTTCTTTTGGAGCTTGTAAGCAATTTGGCTCAAGAATGGAAGCCCTTCCTTCTTTCCTTCTTCTCTCCCCATAAATGGATTTCTTTTTAAACTCTTTATTATAGAAAGTTTCAATTACATGCAAAATAAACAAGAAAATTTCAATTATATACAAAGAAACCAAGCCACCACTGTTTTTCATACTGTGGTGACTGGCATGTTGCTATGATGCTGGAAGCTTTGCCACCAGCGTTTCATACACATGCAGGGTCACCCATGGTCCAGCCATTTCAGGAGGTAGCATAAATGATTAAAAAAAAAGATTATGTTATTGAAGGAAGACGTCTTACTGAAGGCACTGGCAAAACCCAGGCTCCAAGAATTAACAGAATATAGTTGAGGGGTTTCAACAAATGAACACAACACCGCGAGTGCTCACTTGTTTATGCAAGAAATTACTGAGAGAGCTACCTGGCCAAATGAGTAGAAGAGATATGCATTTGTATCTATTCCAAAGAAAAGTAATCCAACATAATGGAGTTATTGAACAATATAATTTAATAGTATATGCAAGTCAGGTTTTGCTGAAGATAATTTAAAAATGACTACGATAGTATATTCACTAGGAGCTACCAGAAACTCAGTCCAGATCCAGAAGAGAACATGGAATAAGGACTATCGTTGTTAACTGGATCTTGGCTGAAAGCAGAGAATACTCGAAAGGTGGTTACTTGTGTGTTACTGACTATGTAAAGGCATTTGATTGTGTGAATCATGACATTCATTTGACTCTGTGGATCATGACAAATTATGGATAATATTGCAGAGAATGGAAATTCCAGAACACTGACTCATGTTCATGTGGAACCTATACAAAGACCAAGAGACGGTTGTTTGAACAGAACAATGGTGTATTGCCCATGTTTGAAGTCCGGAAAGGTATGGGCCAATATTATAGCCTTTCACCATACTCCTTTAATCTGTATGCTCAGCAACTAATCTGAGAAGCTGGATTTGTAAAGATCATGGCATCAGGATTAGAGGAAGGCCAACAACCTACGGCGTGCAGATGACATAATCCTGCTTTCTGAACGAGAACTTGAAGCACTTATTGATGAAGATCAAAGACTATGTTGGATTAGATCTCAATGTAAAGAAACAGAAATTTTTATGACTGGATCAGTAGTAAGCAGCATCACAAAAAACAGAAATTAAAATCATCAAGGATATAATTTTACTTGGATCCACAATTAACACCCATGGAAGCAACAATCAAGAAATCAAATGATGTATTACATTGTGGAAATCTGCTGCATAAAAATCTCTGTGAAAGTGTTAAAAAGCTGGGGAGGAGATGAGCCAGTCGGTGCAGGGTAGCAACAATGAAACATACAACTTTCCTCTAGTTCCTAAATGCTTCCTCCCCTCAACCCCCACTAAAAAAAAAAGTGTTAAAAAGCAAAGAGTTCACCCTGAGGACTGCAGTGTGCTTGATTCAACCCTGAATCTTTTCAATATCTTCATATGTATACAAAAGCTAGGCACTGAATAAAGAAAGCTCCAGAAGAATGAACACATTTGAATTATGGTTGTTGGTGAAGGATATTGAATTATACCATGAGCCTGTCAGAAGAAAGAAGCAAGGTGTCTTGGAACAAGTATAGCCAAGAATGTTCATTTTTTAATAGCCACAAAATAGTCCACTGAGGAGTTGTGATAGAACTTTGGTTACTTTTAATATTGAACAGAAACTATTAAAGATTCACTGAATCCTTCCATTTTTTGCATCATTTACATAGACGGTCCCTTAGAAGTAGGGTTCTAAGGTTCTAAGATAAGTAAGCCTCTTAATACGTATTGTGAAAGGACATTTCCTATAGGCGAGCCGCTGTCCATTCCCTCGGCAGTGGGTAAGAGTACCAGCTTCAACTTTGCATGATTTGTTTTAGCAGTTGTCTTGGTTCTTGGAATAATACAGGGCTGGTTGTTTCTGGATTGTCTCTTTTTCTCTTCTGACCCTCCCTATTTCAGACATTAATGCTTGCCATATTTCATTTTATCTGCTAGGTGTTTTCATGCCGGCTAGGGAGTGAGCATGATACAGCTCTTTCAATTGTTGACCCAGTGCAAATTCAACTGGAACTGGTGGGGAATTCCTCTTATCAGAATAGTTCGGGATTGATGGATGCATTCAACAGTGAAGATTTCCCACCTATCTTAGAGGTAACACTGGAGAACTACATGACATGCTGATATAACCTACACTTTCATATCCGGCATTGTTTCTGTCCTTGGAGTTCAACTCTTCAGCAAATGCCAATGAAGTATGGCGTGGTCTTTGTCCTACAAGATCTTGGAGTCTCGGAGAGGATAAAAGGCATTTTAATTGTCTGATGAAATCCTCAAGTTTTGTAAAAATGTACAGAAAGCAGAATTTTATAAAGAGCACTCTTGATGATGATAGAACTTAGGAAGGGTAGGTTGTAAGTAGGTAGTGAGCGAGAGGGAGAGCATTCTACCTCGTGAAGAAGCAGAGCCAGGGATGGAAATGATTCAGCAAATGTAAACCAAAATAAAGTCTGATGAACAGAGGTGTGGGTAGGGCAGTCAGGAGATGCAAGGTGAAGCAAAGAAGGTAGATGCAGACAAAGAAGCTTCAGAAGTTGGTGTTTTGTTTCTTTAGTACATAGGACTAGGATCATAAGGAGAAAGAGCAAAGCCAACCTGATCTTGGTCTGCAGGGTCCCTCACGAGAAAAAGGGAACAAAGTGCTAGATCTAAGTCTTCACACAGCTCTCCCAGAGCAACCGTTTCCAAAGTGGACGGTACCCAGTGCTCGCACTTCCTTTTCCCCAGTGCACTATTACTAGTCTCTGAGGAAGACTGGATTTCAGGGACTCGTAGTGTGAAACTCAGACTCGTACTCTGTTGATATTCGAATAAAGAAGAGAACAAGTTGGTTGGTCAGATGGTTTCAGAGATTTAAACCAATCCAAAACTCAAAGGAAAATGGTTGACTAATGTCATTAATAAGGGGACCGTTTGACCCCAGAGCCATTTGCTGAGCCTGTTCTTTAATACTGGTTTGAGAACCACCATCTAAAGCCTGAATTGTCCTAGTAATCCTCCTGGTCTAGAGTTTTGTATTTGGTGCAGTTTTGTGACGACTTGGACTCAGCGCTAAGGTATTTTACCTCCTATTTATGAATGTTTAATTTCAAGAGCTTTGTAGTCTTCCAGATGAGACATGTAGTGTGTTGAACACAGAATTAGACTTTGAAATAAGAATTATATCGTAAGAGGTGTGAAGGCTAAGGCAAATACTGCTTTGAAAAAAATAACCACTGTTTGTATTTTGTTAGATTCAGTTACAAGCCCTGGATATCAGACTTTCCTATAATGATGTCCAGCTATTTCTTGCCATTGCAAAATCCATCCCAGAACAAGCGAATACCGTGGTGCCAGATTCGGTGGTCCTGGAGGCCGACTCCGTTAGCAGTCCCCTTACTGGCTCATCTCGTGTCAGTGAGGAAACCCGAGAAGGGACGAGACGTACCTTAGATCCTGTCCTGGGTAGGTGTTTAGCTATAAAACCCATTCAGTATTCCCCGTAGCCTTCTCTTTTCACTTTTAAGGTTTCCTCTTATGCAATCATATTGTTTGAAGTCTATGTGTATGCCATTAGGTATAATTGTCAGTCACAAATATGACTTTGTTTTATTTTTTCATTTAGAAACAAAACATTGCAAATTGACTGGTCTGTCATGCTATTTTTCCTCTTACAGTTTCTTCCTAACGTATATGATAGTGCTAAGGTTTCCTTTTAAACTTTTAGAGTTTTCTTCCAAAGAGATGTGGATAATACTAAGTTTCCATTTTAAGCTTTTTAAAACTAGAGGCAGTGTCAGGGAAAAGACTCTTAAAATCCAGGTACAGTTAGTGGAAGTCTCCAATTAGGAGTCCAGTTTTGCCCAGAGAAATGAAGTGTTTTCGTCATCAATTTCTGAATTTGTTTTTAGCCCCAAACTACTCTGAGGAATAATTTACATAAAATTATTTACAAAAAACTGTATGTACTCTTTTCTCCCTTAGAGTTACAACTAGCTCGACTGCAGGAGCTGGGATTCAGTATGGATGATTGTCGCAAAGCTCTTTTGCTGTGTCAAGGTAATTTAAATGATGATGATATGCTTCCTGGTGATATGCTTCCTTCCCATCCCTTCCCTATCCCCACTTAAAGAACTAACATGTATTTAGCAGATCTGTTTGTGTCCTCTGTGGGCTGAGTAGTCTTGGGCTGCAGTATTCGTAGTGGGTGAGAATGTGGGCCCTGAAGTTGGCCCTGCCTGGGCTCCGGTATACCGTGCCATGTGTTATTAGCTGTTTGTTGCTGATGTTGAGCTCAACATGGCCCATATTAGCCCATTTCTGCTCACTGATCGTGCCTAGGCTATTGATCTTCACGTGTCCTGTTTCATTTTTGACAACTTATATTTTCCCCGATCCGTGCTTTCTGCATTCCATGTTCTGTTTAGTAGTGGCTGTTTGCCACTGTTCCTTCTCATTTTGAGTTGTGCCACTTCAGCTAATGAGTCTGTCCGTGTCATCAGGCCAACTCTACTCTGAGGAGGCAACTCGTTCTTCTTGTTATCTTCCTACTTGAGGGGCTTATCGCCCAACACTATTTCTGATACCATTCTGTTGTTTTTCAAGGTTTTCAAGATAGTTTTTAGATAATGCCTATCTTCGCCCAGAAGTTCTGCTGAAATTTGTGTGCCTTGGTTGACCCCGGAGACCTCTTTGTTCTGTCACGTTGAGGACTAAAGTGTGCTTGACCCAAGCCAGGGTGGTTTCAGTGGCCTCACATGCATGTGAAAGCTGAACAATGGAAAACAGACTGAAAAAGAATGGATGCATTCACATTTTGATAGTGGCAGAGAATTGGTAACAAAGCTATCTTGTAGGAAGCACAGCTACAGTGCTTCTGTAGAAGCAAGGATGGCAAGCCTTGGGCTCCCACTTTCTTTGGCATGCCGCCAGGATGAACCAGTTCTTGGTGAAATGAAGGGTCACCAAAAAGGAGCGTCTCAATGAGATGGCCCAGTGGCTACAACAATGAACTCAAGTATAGCAACAATTGTGAGGATGGTGTAGGAGCAGGCAGCATTTTGTTCTGTTATAAGGTTTTCCTGTGAGTCAGAGCTGACTGGATGACAGCTAATAACAGCCATGTTTCTGGAATCCACACTGAGGGCTCCTCTTTGATTTCTCTTTGATTGGCTAGCTAGAAGCTCATCAATGTCACTGACATTTTCAGTGAGTTAGACTTTACACTCATTGATTTTGAAATTTTATTTTTTTTCCTTTAGGAACTAAGACTTCCTTAGTAATACAAATGATAACAAGTACTATTTATAGAGCATGTGTTACATGCAAGACTATGTTCTGAAAACTTTTCATGTCCTCCTCAACTTCCTCCCATATCAGCCCTGTAAGTGGAGCTGTAGGACAGAGAGATGAAGTAAATTGCCCCAAACCCAATAGCTAATGATGACATAATTCGGATCTTGCTCCAAAGCCCATCTCCTAAAGTCCTTACCAGTTTTCCATGCACTAGCCGCTGGTTCATTTTAAAGTGTGGGGTTACGTTGTTTTTTTTTTTCTTCTTTTTGGTTTAGCAATCTCATTTTATCCAAGAGGCTGTGATTTAACAATTCTGCACCATATCACCTGCACATAATTCCCTTATTGCTCTCTGTTCTCAAAGAATTTGTGATTCGGTCAAGAACACAAATTATACACACAGTTAGAAACTGGACAGCATTGACAAAACTGCAAACCCACATATCCAAACACTGCTTGTTCCTAAGTACCAAGTGGCATAAGAGCTCTTCTAAGTACTTAAGCTCTTAGAATTCGGATCCCCTCCTTCCAAGTTCTGCCTGTCTTTCAGCAGATGTCAGAGTAGAGGAGGGATGTTTTTTCTGGGGGTGTTTGGAGCCAGGTCCTGAAAGGTGTGGTAACCTTGAGCAGGAGGTGTGCAACAAAGAGGGCTTTGTTCTATTTCCCTAAAAGCCGCATTCCTCTGATGCTAGTTTTCGCCTTCCCTTTTTCTTTTCCTCTTAGTCCATGAGTACATCTGCGATCGAGGCTCTCTTGGGCTGTCTAGTAGGTCCTCCAGGCCTTGTTTCTGGATTTCCTATGTGATTTGCTGGAGGAGCTGGCTGAACTGATCACCCTTTAATTTCTTTGAAGGCCAATTGAAAAAGGCAGCAAGTTGGTTGTTTAAGAACGCCGAGCCTCTGAAGTCTCTTTCCCGGGCCTCTAGCAGCCGAGAGAGCCAGGGGATGGTGCCAGCACAGTTGGTCTCGGGAGTGGAGATTAAAGCGGAGAGTGTGTGCATCTGTTTTATTGATGACTGCATGGACTGTGATGTCCCTCTCGCTGAGCTCACCTTCTCCCGTGAGTATTTGCCTGATTTTCAGATTCATCTGGAATCTTTGCCGTGCTTGCCGAATTATTCAGGGCTTGTCTTTTATGTTACTCATGCTCTCCTGTACTTAGTAGTGTGGGTGAAATTCAGATAATGGTTTCACATGTGTTTTTCATTATGTGTATTTTAAAGACATGCATATTTATTTGCCATATGTGGCCTTCAGCCTATAGCATGGGAATCATTGAAATTGTCATTGATGAAATTTCTGTTACATTAACAACTATGGCCAAATAATTCTTGATTTCTTATTTTGATGGTCTTTTGGGGGATCTAAAGATCACAGTGAGGCCTGTTATTAGAGGCGTTTAAAAGATAAGCCTGCAGTAATGTTTCTGTCACATTCATCTCTTGAAAGTAGATAAATACAGAATCTGGTTGGTTAGCCAGCTCGCCACCCAGTCTCCTCCATAGGGCCAGGTGAGAAGTGAGACACCGGTCAGATGAGGGCTCTACTTCAGCAGTGTGGGGAGCAGGCCAGAAATAAAGACTGTCGTCCAGCTCACCAAAGCAGGCAGGGTCAGAATGAGGTTTCCGAGGAGAGTAAACAAAAATGTTACTGCTAGGTTGACCTTTCATTTTCTATGACAAGGGCGCTTCAAAAGTCCCTGGAAAAAAATTCCATGTCTTTTCATTCCGTTTCCCATGGACGTTTTGAAGCCATCTTGTATTTCGACTTTGACAGTTTTCTCTCCCTTCAAGTAAAATTTGGTTTGGGCCTTTAACCCAACTATTGCCCATTGTTGGACCTTTCTTTTAGCCTGCACTTCTTGGTTCCACAAGGGCCGCTGGATTCAAAGTACTGTCTGGAATTTTGACTACTTTCACAAGTATCCTTTCTGCAGAGATTTAGATTATTTTTTATTTTTCAGATTTTCTTAAAATCTTGAGCTAGTACTTACCAGGCCATGAATGCTTTTGTTTTATCTGGCCATATTTTCAGGTACCCACCACTGATGTTGAATTGATTCTGACTCTTAGGATCTGAAAGGACAGAGTAGAACTACTCCTTAAGTTTTCTGAAACTGTCAATCCTTACAGGAGCAGACAGCCTCATCTCTCTCCTGCAGAGTGCCTGGTGGTGTGTTTGAACCACTGACCTTACAGTTAGCAGCTCAGTGCTTAGGCTACTTAACCCCCAAGAGTTCCTTTCTTTCTAGCTAGGTAAAACTTGTTGATAAAATCACTTTATTCCTGTTCCCACACAGGCTGTGGCAAACTTGCTTGCCAGAGCTGTAACTCAGGAGAGGCAAATGTGATAATTGTCTTAGGCAGAATGCTTAAGAGCCTGTCCATCAATTCAGTGCTCAAGATGAATACCATTTTAATTCAATATTGAACATTTAAAAATCATTGTGAAGGGAGGGGAAAAATGAGGAATTGATACCAAGAGCTCAAGTAGAAAGCAAATGTTTGAGAATGATGAGGGCAACAAATGTATAAATTGTGCTTGACACAATGGATATATTTTTGGGTTGTGATAAGAATTGTACGAGCTCCCAATAAAATGATTTTAAAAAAATCATTGTGAACAGAATATTGAAATTTTTGTGTGCTTTACTATGAGGCCATGAATATTTCCTAGGAGACCATAAATGACTACTATCTCTTTTTAATCTCTTAATGCGATTTGTCTGCAAAAGGTAATTTTGGATGGCCCCTGCTCTGCTATTTCACTAAAGATTCGCTTGTATTACAGGTCTGAATTTTCTGCAACATGTGAGAACTAGCCCTGAAGGCTATGCCCACTTCACCCTCTCTGGAGATTATTATAACCGTGCCCTGTCAGGTCAGTATAAGACATATATTACTATGGGATTTAAAAAATAAATGTAAATGGTGATCTCACTCATAGTGACATAAACTTTACAGGAGGGAAAAGAGGTGGGCTAGAGAAGGATTCAAAGCTAGTGACGGTAGAGTCACAACAGGAAAGAGACTACATTTTTCTAAAACCTTATCAGCTATGCTGTAGCCAAATCATTTAAAAAGAACTTTTTCAGGTACTTCTTTTTGATCCTAGATTTAGGCTCATTCGAGAACATAAAATTTCTTGATTGCAAAGGGACCTTTGATTGGACCTCTTTGACAAAAACTCCAGGGTGATGGATGTCCAGCTAGTATTGTAAGCTTCAGGTCTCCCCGTGCTCCGCTTTGGCTTTATCTCATTAGCAGTGGACAGAGTCAGTGATAACGTAAACCGTTTCCCTACCTGTCTCCCTAGGGCAAACATAGTAGACAGAGCAAGTTCTTTTTTGAGACATAAGCCCTGTATATTCTGCTGAGGTTTTTCAGGACTCTTTCCTTCCATTGGGAAGTCTGAACTGAAGGATTATACAGGTTGACAGTGAGGAATCATTGTCTAACAGGGCCAAGCAGTTTGAGCTGTGAAAGTCCTTGCCTTCAGAGAATTTAAAGAAATTCCCATCAGAACTCAGAGTGGATGTGTTGCTGCTGCTGCTAAGTGCCAGCGGGTAGGTTCTGACTCATCCTGACCCTGGGTACAACAGGACTCTGCCCAGGCCTGTGCCACCATCACAATTGTTAGGTTTAGTAGGTGCGGATGGAATAAGTTGAGCTGAGCTGTGCAGTCAAAGGCTTAAACCTGAGGGATTACTCTCTTTGATTCCAATGAGAAATTAAGCCTGGTTTGTTGCACAGCTGCCGATGCCGCTAGAGTTCATGTCAGGTTTAATTCTATGTTACTTAACATTTCCCCTTTCTGTTCTGGATGCACTTAAAGGTAGCACCTTTATTTCCTAATTGTTCAAAATGTTTAACTTCAGAATAATGACCCAAATCTTGTTAGTTGAGAGGGCATATGGTAACTATTTTTCTGAGAATCATTTATTTTCTCAAACCAAAACTTGCTTGTTTTGAGAGTGGTGGGAGCGCATTCAGGCTGCTCAGTGGTAAACTATGTGAGGAGACTAATGCACTTGTTTGGATGTTGCACACTGGGTTGGGTTTGGGTGGGCGAATCCGCTGTTCTATGGCTGATTGAGAGGAGATTTAGACATTTGTGAAAAGGAACTAATCCTGAATATTCAAGTCTTTAAAACTACAATAAAGATACCATTTTACATCCAAGAAATCATCAAGAATAAGTGGGACTACAGCACAGCACTTCTCTGAAGTATGTGCCCTAGAGGCACCTTTCCCTGTGTGTACTAGAAAGCACATTGAAGACGCTCTCTGTAGTCTTCTTGCTAAGAGCAATCAAACTGGAGTCAACTGCATGTCTGTCCACCATAGACTGGATCCATAAATTGTGGTATATTTATTAACAGGTTGCTTTTTGGTAGTGAAAATAAATGTACCACAGCTGCATGTATCTGTCTATATGTGACTGACCTCAAAGATCTCTTGAGAAAAATATAGAAAAGCTACGAAAGAGTATCTGGAATCCCATTTATGTGAAGACCCCAAACAGAACAAAGCACTCAAAATGCTCTTTTTTTGGGGGTAATAGTTTTATTGGCATGTGCCTCACATATCAAACAATTTAATTGTTCAGTCATACTAAGATTTGTGTAGTCATCACCACAATCAATTTCAGAACATTTTCTTTTAAATAAATCATTTTATTGGGGTCTCTTACAGCTCTTATAACAATACATACATCAATTGTAGCAAGCATATTTGTACATATGTTGCCATCACCATTTCTAAAACATTTTCTTTCTGCTTGAGCCCTTGGTATCAGCTCATCTTTCCCCCCTCCCCCCTCCCACCCTCATGAACCCTTGATAATTTATACATTATTTTAATTTTCCTATTTTGCACCGTCCCCTGTCTCCCTTCACCATATGTCTGTTGTTTGTCCCCCCAGGGGGCTGGGTGGGATTGTACATTAATCAAGGTGATTGGTTCCCCCTTTCTCCTTTGTCCCCACTTCCCCTCCCCTCCCCTACTCTCATTATTAGTCCTGAGGGGTTTATCTGTCCTGGATTCTGTGTCGAGAGCTCTTATCTGTACCAGTGTACATGCTCTGGTCTAGCCAGAGGTATAAGATAGAACTGGGGTTATGATAGTAGGGGGAGAGGGGAGTTAGGAAGCATTAAAGAATTAGAGGAATGTTGTGTGTTTATATTGCACCCTGGCTGACTCGTCCCTTTCTTGTGACCCTTCTGTGAGGGGATGTCCAATTGTCTAAAGATGGCTTTGGGTCTCCATTCCAACCCTTCTTGTTCGCATCGAAATGGTTGTTTGTTTTGGGTCTTCTGATGCCTGATACCTGATTGTGGATACCTTGCGATCACACCCGGTTGGTATGCTTCTTCCATGTGAGCCTTGTCGCTTCCCTGCTGAATGGCCACTTGTTTAACTTCAAGCCTTTAAGACCCCAGATGCTATATCTTGTAGCAGCCGGGCATCAGCTTTCCTCACCACATTAGCTTATGTACCCATTTTGTCTTCAGTGACCGTGTTGGGAAGGCGAACATCACAGAGTGCCAGGTTATTAGAATGAAGTGTTGCAAAGTCTTGTGTTGAGGGAGGACTTGTCTGTTACCTTAATATTTAACCTGTAAATATATGTACTTAGACCTTTATACCATCGTTACATATGTACATGCCTATGTTTATACCTGTATAAAAGTCTTTAGTCTCCTAGTTCTTTCCTCTATTTCCTTTTACTTTCTTCCTGCCCCACTGTCATCTTCAGCCTTCATTTGGCTCTCTGTACTTCCTCTTGGCTACATTGCACTTGATCGAACCCTGGCAGGCATTCTATGCCCTCCTCGCCATTGATTTTAGATCTTATGTTCCCTTGTCCCTGGGTTTGTTGGCTTCCCACTCTCTTTCCCCCACCTCCTCCATTTCCCTGTCCCCCGGAACTGTCGGTCCCGCTGTTTTCTTCTCAGGATTGTTTATCCTGCCTATCTTATGTATCGATAGACATGAAAAAAAGGGAGAGAGGGGATCTGAATAGTTCCAGGTGTGTCTGCTGACCCTTTTGAATGTTTTTTGATTCGGGTCTGATGCAGTGCTAAGACCTGTCTCCAGAAGTCCATTTTCAGAATTGCTCAGGGACTTTATTGCTATGCTCTCCTTGCTGCTCTGTTGCGCTCCCTTTGTATTATGTAGGGGTCAGACCAGGCACAATTCCCACACTATGCCTCAGGTGCTGGGCCCGCCGTGGCGCTGTGGGTCAGTAAGGGAATATCGTATCTTGTGGTGAGGCTGACCGTACCGTTCTCTCTGTGCATTGGCTGCTCCGAGTGGGAATGTTGTCCTCGAAGCTTGGTAGACCAGGATGCTGTTCTCTCTCTCTCTCTCTCTCCCTCCCTCCCTCTGAGTTTCCTCCTGTGTGGACAGAACATTTTCTTCTTGTACTCATTGTTCGTAGCTCCCCATTTCTCCCCATTCTCCCCTGCCATGCCCCTAGGCAATTATCAATCCAGTTATTGGCTCTGTAGATCTGCCTTTCCTGGATGTCATTTACAGAAAATCATATAAAACCCAATTAGGAAGCAAGCAAGCTGACAAAACCAAACCAAAACCAAAACTAACAACCATGACTAGATGAAACATGGAAACATCTCAGTGAAAAAGAAAATATTAAAAACTGAAACAACTTAAAAATGAGTCAAAAGGAAGATCAAATGTTAAGGTATTACATTTTACCCTAACTACATCTGCCACAGTTGACTTTACAGTGCTCTCTGCCTGAGAGCAAGGCTATTCACATCCCTATTATGGTGAGAAGGGATTCCCCAGAGCCTTCATCCATGCGGGGACCCTGCAAATGGAGTTTGAGCTTCCACTGTCATCCATGGCCTTCTGTAAACTGTGTGTTCACAATTTAAGCTCTGATATTATTCTCTCCCTTGGATTTGGCCTTTATTATTTACAACTCCTGGGTTCCACAGACTGGTGTGGTTCTTCCACGTGGACTTAGTTGGCGCCTTGCTTAGATGCCTACTTAGTATTTGAAGATAAGCCTTTACGACCCCAGACACTATTCTTTCTGATAGCCGGGCACCATCTGATTGATTCACTGCTCTTTACTGTAGCACCCATATCTTCAATGATCTCTTCAGGAGGGCAAGCATCAATCGGGGCTATGCCCTAAGAACGAATTGTTTCCAGATTGGGGGTAGAATGAAGTTCAAGCCCCCAATCTAGTCATGCATCTTTGAATAGTTTCTATATGTCACTGGGTCACTTCACCGTTTTATAATACAGAACATTAGAAGTCATCTCCTTGGGGCATCAGGTAATTGTGCCAATTGTTGTTAGGTGCCATTGAGTCAGTTCCAACCCATAGGTGACCTGTGCTCAACAGAACAAAACACTGCTCCATCCTGCCCCATTGTCACTTCCTGTGCATGAGCCCCTTGTTACAACCACTGTGCCAATCCATCTCCTGTCCCTCCTGTCCATTTGCTGCCCCCCTTGTGTTGATAGTGAATTTTTCCAATTGCATAGAATTTAAAACACTGTTGAGAAAGGAAAATGAGAATTATACAAGTATAGGCTGGCTTCAGACCGAAATACATCAATTGTGTACTTGTTCAGACGAACTCTTTAGGGACTGGACACTATTTACACAAACGATGGGGGCCGGTGATAGGGCAAGACTTCCATTAACACTATTCACAAGGCAACGCCATGCCTACGAGATTAATACATGTCATAAGAAAGCCAGGAGTGCATTAACGTAGGAAATATGTGCTAGTCCCAGGCCACCATTCATTGGTCACCTTCAAGGCAAGAGACCCGAACTAAAGTCCAATGACGGCCAATTCCATAACGATGGGACAGCTGCCATCTGCTTCATCTCACACTGTCATGTTTCAGCCTTAAGTCTAAGGGAGTGTTGTTCCTTAAATCGGCTACTGGCGAGTTTGAGGCAAAGCCCAGTTTACTTAGTGGGGTTTCCACATCAAATCTTTCTGGTGTGGCCTATGAAGAATATTGTGGACCTCAAAAAGACAACCTAGACTTCCAGTTGTCTATAGCACACAGCTTGGGTCACCAAGGGCTGGATAGAAACTAGGTCAAAAGAGTCCAATTAGATTGGACATCCCCTTATGGAAGAGTTGCGGGGGAGGAGATGAGCCAGTCAGGGTGCAGTGTAACAACGATGAAACATACAACTTTCCTCTTGTTCCTAAATGTCCCCCCCTCCCCCCACTATCATGATCCCAATTCTACCTTACAAATCTGGCTAGACCAGGGGATGTACACTGGTATAGATAGGAACTGGAAACACAGGGAATCCAGGACAGATGATCCCATCAGGACCAGTGGTGAGGGTGGCGATGCCGGGAGAGTGGAGGGAGGGTGGGGTGGAGAGGGGGAACCGATTACAAGGATCTACATATAACCTCTTCCCTGGGGGATGGACAACAGAAAAGTGGGTGAAGGGAGACGTTGGACAGTGTAAGATATGACAAAATAATAATTTATAAATTATCAAGAGTTCATGAGGGAGCGGGGAGCGTAGGGGGAAAATGAGGAGCTGATGCCAGGGTCTTAGGTGGAGAGCAAATCTTTTGAGAATGATGGGGGTAATGAATGTACAAATGTGCTTTACACAACTGATGTATGTATGGATTGTGATAAGAGTTGTATGTGCCCCTAATAAAATGACTTAAAAAAAAAAAAAAAAGAGTCCAATTAGAAGCATAATACCAAGTATATTTTCCTCTTGGGTTCTATATAAATTTTGTTAAAGGGTTTTTTCCCTGATGGGAAGTTACTTTTCCCAGTTTACTCAACAACAGAGATATAATAACCTTCCCCGAGACATATATGCCTCCCTCCCTCCTTCTTGACTGAATTTCCAGTCAGGTTTCAATATGTTCTTAAGAATTACACACATGTGTTAAAACTATAAAGAAGAGACAGGGAACGATTAACTCAAAATTCCAGATAATAGTTGCCTGAAGTTGGATGGGAGAGGGTTGGCAGTGGAAAGGAGAGGAATGAGTTGGAGAATGGTGCTCAGGGACTTCAAAGGAACTTGTAATTTTCTATTTGTCAAGCTGGGCATATGCGTGTTTATGGTATTATTAATGTTTACATTGTGTATATCTATATAAATATTTATATAGCTTTTACAAAAATGTGCTAAGATATAAATAAAGTTGATACATCAAAGATATCTAGTTTATTCAACTTGTGTAATATTGATATCAGGAGAATAAAATTTAATATTTATGCCACTGTATTACTTTTTCAACCTGAATCCACAACCCTCCCTCCCCCTTTAAGTGGGTCAAGAGTAGATGCTCTCTGACTTTCTTCCTACCACCTCTGGGTTGCCATGGGTGTCTCGTCACCTCTCATGCTTCATGTCACCTCTGCCACTCATATCTTCTTTGCAGCCCAGCCACCTGTAGCTAAAGATGGTATGTTCATTGTGCGATTGGGTTGGAAGTGGAAAGCTATGTAACTGTGGTTGCCTTTGCTTAGCATTTGTGAACAGTGTTTCTCTATAAACTCTCGCTATCTGCTGAACAGATGTGTTATTTCCTGTGTTCTTTTAGGCTGGGAGCCATTTATTGAGCCGTGGCCATGCTCTGTGTCTTGGCAACAACAGGCAGCAAGTCGTCTCCATCCTCCTCGGCTGAAACTGGAGGCCAAGGCCAAACCTCGTCTGGATATCAATATCACTTCTGTACTAATTGGTGAGTAGAAACTGGTGGTCTTATGTACATACATTCCTGTCTGAAAGACTATTACTCTGGGTTTAGTTGATAGTTGAACCTGTAGCAGACATTGCTTCTTCAACTTGGGTTGTTCTCTGATGATTCTTCGCAGCCCAGTGCCCCAGAGTGGGCCGTCCAAGTTAATGTTACCAGTGTTTGTGCAAAGCTTCAGCTTCTTGGGATACATAGGAGTCAGTGTTGAACTTCCTTCTCTTAATCCTTGGCCCCTGGGGGCTTATTCCATGTTTTGATGGTGAGTTTTGAGTTACTCCTCTGAAACTAGTCACAGAAAAATTCTTACTAGGTATGATTTGGACCTTGTCTTCGTCACAGGGTATGTGTGGTCTGTGTGGTTTCTCGTAAGGTATCACATTGACCTAAGAAGAGGTCTTGGCTACAGGCTCTATCTGCCAAGCTAATGCTCCAATTCTGAAAGCTGCTTTGGCCACACTGAAATGACCATCCCTGGAGTCTATCTAATGAGTCAGAGCCACTCTGGCCTTCTGAAAGAAGAGTAATGCCTGCCTGTGCTGTGGGAACTCGAATAAACGTCTGAATTGTTGGTCTGCACAGATCTCACTTGGGTGGCACTGCGGTTGTCTCTGAGTGGCGACATGCACTCCTGCAAATCTGAATTTTCTCCAGTGTGTGTGGTGTTGACACAAATTTTCCAGTGCCCATTGCCTTGCCCCCATCAGAGTTAGGAAGAGAGAATGAATAGTCAAGTGAGACTATGCTTTTATTAATACAAAAAAATTAAAAACCATTGCATAGAGTGGTCAGATTGAATAAATTCATTTGGCTTGATATTAATAGCACTTGTGTAATAGTAAATTCCCCTCACCATGTTTCTACATTGTATTACTGGTGACGCCTGCATGGTTTCACACATCTGTTAATGTATAGGGTTATGCAGAGTTATAGCTGTACTTTGAAAAGCTGAAATAAATAAGAAATTTCTCCAAACGAAAGACTCATCTTGGTATTTCTGATGAGCATGTCTATTTTTAAAGTATCTTGCAGAAAATATCCTTTTCAGTGGTGCAAACAGTTGTTTGTTTTATTCCCCCCTTCTTCTTCCTTTCCCTTCACCTCTTCATTCCTTGTAATCAGCTGAATCCCGGAACAGTGCTGTGGCTTGTAATCATGGAAATGGCATTTTGTTAGCTAAGTATTGAGCCAGAAGGCCTCAAACCAATAATTCATGCCCCCAAAGTATAATATCTTAATTAGATGAAAAATTCTGTATCTCAATGTGTTGCATTACTAACCTGCTATCCCTGTTATAATTTTCCTTTAAAATAAAAATTGTCAGCTGGATCTCAACCTCTGAATTTGTTTTTTAATAGTCTTTTCACTGGCCTCTCTATCTCCAAACTCTCCCCCTTTGCAGGCTTGCCATAGCTCTCTACAAATCAGTCCATTCTCTCTTCTAGACTTCTTTGTTGTGCCTGTCCTCCAGCCTATTGTGCTAAGTCCACACCAGAATGTACTGTCACATCTTACTGTCTTTCCCTCCGCCTGGACTGTCATCTGCCCTGATCCCATTGGTAAACTCTCAACTATGCTCATTCTTAAGGGCTCATTCAACAGCATCCCCCCTCTTTGAAGATTTGTCTGAACTTTTTCCCCTTCACCCCCTACCTTCACCCAAACATACATACTTCCATCAAAGCCAAATAAATCTCCCTCCCTCTGTGCTTCTATCAAATTTGGTTAATATCTGTCATTGCACCTTTCACTCCGTGACATATGTTTGTGGTGATGGTCTTTTTTGTTAACAAGAATCTCTAGGGCAGAAGTTTTCCTAGAATGTAGCATAATGCTTAGCATGTAGTAAGGAAGGCGCTCAATAAAAACTTGTATTGAATTGAATTGAAATGATTTGATCTGAACCCTCAGTCTTTTACACTTCCTTTGGGACTTTTTTTCTAGACCAGTATATAAGTACCAAAGAATCGTGGATGGCAGATTACTGCAAACAGGACAGGGAAATGGATTCAGCCAAATCAGAAGACTGGATGGGCTCTTCAGTGGATCCACCGTGCTTTGGACAAAGTAAGAATTTTCTCCACAAATGTCTAATGAAATCACTGCTGAGCAGGGTGTCACTGTGAAATCGAAGTAGAGCCATCCTTCTCTCTAGAAAAGCGGTCTTTCTTCTCTAGTTCTGTTCCAGTCTTTGCAAGACATACTTTTCTGATAGGAGCTGCTGAGCTTTTAATACGGCTTCTAACTCCACTTTTGTGGAGAAGAAAGGACGTGCAGCAAACAATTCCTCCATTCTTGTCATGTTCCCTCTGAACCGGTGCCTGACAATGCAGCGGAGAAGCCATTGGTGGGTGTATTTCACTTTGCAAAACTGGAAATTTTCTGATTGATTAGATTTTTTTGACTGTTTAGAATTTTTAAGTCCTCTAAACCTAGAGATGTAGGGTTTGTATATGTTCTTGTATAAGGGAGAGATGGCAAGGTCTCATTGGGGAAGAATATTTTTTAAAGGGGACCCTGTATTGTTCACAAAGTATAAAAGAATGTGGATGCCCAGCTCCTTGAAGAAAGAGGAGCTGTTTGTTCTGTTAATGATGTTTTCTTTCCTTGTTTCATGCCTCACCACTGAGCTCTTTTCTTTGGAGCTGGGGAGCTGGTGATGGACCACTGCATGACCCCTAGTTGTTCCACATGCCATTGTCATCCCAATCCAACACAGCCCCCGCTCTTTCAGTGTGAAGTCTTTTGGGAGTCTTGGCTGAACTTCACATAGCTCATGAATACTTGAATATTTCATCTCTGTAACCGTGTCATGGGAAGATGGGGTCTCTTAGCGTATGAAATATTTGAACTGGTTCACCTCTCCAAGGGGTGTGCAAATGAACTTTCTGTCTCTTGTGCTTCTAGAAGGACAAAGCAATGCCAGCTGTGCTTGCTCTCTCTGTTCCCAGGCTGCTGCTCCTGAGCCTCAAGGTCGTTGCTCTAGGAGCCAAGGCTTTCAGACACCATCAGCTCCATCTGGTCTGCTCTTCTAGCCTTGCCTCCCAATTTGTGTGTCAAGAAGATATAACGGAGTCTACTTAGAAGGCTCTAAATAATCTCTCTAATATGCACCATGTCTGTGAAAGCGTTTTCTATAGAACATTGTTCATACTAAGGGAGCTTAAATCCAGAGGCAGTGTAAACACTTTGAAAGCCTAATCTTCAGGATTCTGAGGAAAGCTTTCCTTTTGTTTCTCACTCACTCTTTTGTTCTTTTTTCTTTTTCTTTATCCTGTTTCTCTCTCGCGCTTTGGTTAAAAAGCTCCCTTTTATCTATGTTAAATGCCAGCGATAAGTGAAAGCTTATTTTTTTCTTAAACATTTTTATTGTCATGTAGGTTTAAAAAAATGGAGATATAGCTGGAAAAATTTTTTAATTAGATATAACTGAAAATACCGAAATAGCCGAGCCTCTTTTCTTTCTGGAAATTCCTAAGTGGTAGTATAGCAAATGGGATTGTGTTCTTTTAATAGACCTTTTCACGTGATGATTGGTTATTCGTTTTTGAGTCTTTAGTGAACCGATCATCAACTTTTAAGGTCTTTCTTAAGATCATGTTATCATGCCCTATAGAAGTTGTGCTCTTTATTCAAGCCAGCTTCAAATATGAATCCTTAAAAGAGAGGCTCTTAATATGAGAGTCTGTCTAAGGGAGATACTGATTTCTTACTGTTTCTTTAGCAGGGAAAGAAACTATTGACCTCATTTTTGACATAATTGCCGGCCTTGTTAAATCGGGGCTGAGATTCAGTTCCCACAGGTAACCCGGATGGCATGTCATCTTATTGAAGTTGTTGGTTTTAGATCCCAAGAAAACGTAACAAAAATCTCAAATGCAACTATTCTGAAGCTTAATTAAAATTTAATTTCTTAATTCCATTCTTAATTAAAATTTAAGCCGTATGGTGTGACAACTCCTTATTAGAGATTATTTCAGTTTGGAAGCACACTGGCTTTTTGCTATGAAATCTTGAGAACCTTGGGGGATTAACATTCTACATACTGGGCTTTTCTAATTTTGAATGGAGCAGACCCTGCTCAATCTGTGCTGATTGAATTTTGTGATTTTTCTGTGCCACTTAAGAAGACACATGCTTTCACATAAAAATCCTCAAAAGCCTTGTCCATTCCTTTCTAGAGAATGCTGTGAATACATTTTCTCCTCCCAGTTCGAGGGCGGGGGTGGGGAGGGGAGTAGAAAAAGCATGTGACTTTGACACAGCTGCCACCATAAAGGCCAGAATAAAGAATGTCTTCTCCACTTTGTCAAGTATATTCTTAGCGCTTAGTCATCTCTGAAGGGAGTGAGCCAATAATTGCATGATGCTTGCTATTTTGACAATGTACTCTATTTGTGCAATGTTTTGGAGGTGAGTCTTCTTATTCACTGTACTTACTCTGACCCTCTAACTTTGTCTCTCCTGTCTACCAGGCCTACCCCTTGTCTACCTTAGAACTAGAAGTACAGCCAGTCTGACTAACCTAGAGCACCAGATCTATGCTAGAGGTACAGTACAGCCAAGCCAGGGCTTGCTTTCTTTTCCTGTTCTAAGAATTGCCTTGTACATCGGTTTTCTGTGACTGAGAGCTGAATGGGGCACACCCAGTTGTGAGTACTTTGCATTAGTAATAAGAGCATTTCCAGTCACCTAACATCACAAGTAAGTGATGTTCTTATGCTGATAGCATCACTCTTCCATCTCCCTTAACCTTCAATGGAAATGGAATAAGCAACACAGTGTCCGATGCCAAAATATCTATGTCACTTCATTGGGATTTCCTATGTTGAAATACAAGTGCCCAGGGGAGGAAAAATCACCCTCCACCAAGCAGTGTTGCATGCCTTTGATGGCAGATGACAAGAAGCCTTCAAAAAGTTGATGGGAAAACAAAAAGTTGATGGGAACATTTCACTAGCTTCGGCTTATTTTCCCATAAACTTTTGAAGCACCCTTGTACACTGATTCTTCTGGTAATACAAGGATTTTTCTCGACGAGGATCTATAATAATCAAGAGTAGAGCCAAGGAAACACTTCCAGTTAATAATTGCTTACACACCAACCTTCCTCTCTCTAGAATTGAGTTTAGATGCTTAGGAGATAGAAGAAAAGAAAATGTTCTTTGTTTCTCTCTGTGACCCTTGAAGGTTTCTTGAGAATTTGGTAAGTGAATGTGGCAGTAAACACTATGAACGTTAAGGTAACATTTCTTGATGGGTTTGAAGACATGAGTTAACGTGAATGATTTGTTTGTACATGGCTGACATCAGATGCTTGGTCAGGGTGTGCTTTTTTTTTTTTTTAAAAGGCCACCTGAGTTTCATCTACCTATCTAGCAGAGTTCAGAATCGGGATATTGCTACATTGGGGCAGTATGTTTGCTTGTTGCTTCCCTTGGAAGAATAGATGTATGAGGGAGGGCTCATAGAGAAAGTCCAGGACTGAATTTTCATTTATTTATGAGTTGGTACTTGCAAGCTTTTCTATGTCAGTTACCTAATCTTCCGGGCTAAGCAAAGCCTTATTCCTGTTTCGCCAATGAAGACAGCGAGACTTAAGTGATTTGCCTTTATTCTCATGACCAGCTAGTGGCAGACCTAAGACGCTAATCAATTTCTTGTGGTCTCCAAACCAGGATCTTTCATTAGAGTGAACTGCTTCTGCAACAGGATACCTACCCTTTTTGTAATGGGCTGATGACTCTGTCAAACAGCTTTAAGGATTGGAAATGCCCTCACCTGGAGGCATTTGAAGCTGACTTTGGACCTGAGGAGCTTTCGGTTCTCTCAACCCATGAAGAAACAAGGGTTGATCTCTACAGGCAGATTTTCTGAGGCCTCCTGGGAATGCTATTCTTGAAAGACTTGGGGGTTTTGGCCTCTGAGGCCAAGCCAAAGACCGGCTCCCACTTAGGACCCTGATGCAGAGTTGTCAGATTTGCCCTCTGATGCTGGATCTGAGTTTGTGTGCAATCCCTGCAGTTTTATCCTCCGAGAAGTGAGTTCATGAAGCCAGTACTGCTGGATCCGATCACAAGGGCTTGGAAACCTGAGCAGTGGGCATGCCCCCACCAGTTCATTGCAGAGCAGTGGATCTGTGACTTTCTTTATGTGGGTTCCCAACACGTGATGCTGTCTTTCATGCTGATTAAAGCCACTTGCTACCTGCTCTTTCAAAAGCTGATTTGCCATGGGACCTAACGGTCTGGCTCACAGTGGGCTGTGAAAGCGCACAGGGCTGCTTTTCCTTGGGGCCTTTATCTCCAGGAGTAATAAAGGCAGTGCTTGCCTGTGCTCCTGGATTGGGAGGTGGTTTTCGGAGGGCTGCAGGCAGTGCTGTGTACTCTTTAGCTAGCTCTCTCATTTTTTATTCCCCCCGCCCCCCCTGTCCACAGTCTCACAGATACTCCTTAATTTTGTATTTGATGAGCACTTTTCCCCTTCTCCTTTTTAAAAGCAAATCTTGGGGGTTATGGGAACCCCCTGGGGTGAGAAGGATGGGTGTCCTACACAGGTTATCTAACAGAAGTATTTGGGTGTCTCTACTCAACTGATGGCAGAAGAGGGGGGTCTGTCTAGAGACTGCTGTGGTCTTTGGCACACATAGAGCTGGCACTACCGGAAACTGCCGGTTTTGCGGTGCCAGAAATGAACTCCCAATAACCATGAAGAACCAGAAAGGAACAGAAAGAAATAGATTGCACCTTCCCAGGTGGTGCTGACTTTTGCACTGTGACCCCAGGCCCCTGCTGGGGGGCATCATGAGGTGTGCTGCCACAGTTGCTCCTCCCTGCCCTTGGCAGCTGAATTTGGCTCTTCGAGATGAATCTAAATCTGCTCTAGCGTGCCATAGTCGACCCAGTGCCATCAAATTGATTGTGGCTCATAGAAACGTGGTAGCACGGAGTGGAGCTGTCCCGTGAGGTTGCCATGGCTATCGTCTTTACAGAAGCAGATTGCCACCTCTTTCTTCCATGGAGCACCCAGAGGTTCCAACCACCCAATTTCCAGTAAGTGGTCATACACTAACCGCTGCACCCCTAGGTTTCTTTTGGACTTAAAATTGGACCCAAATTACAATCGAGTCATGCCCTTTTTTGTTGGTGTGCACGTGTTGGGGGAGTGTATCACTGGAGGCTTCTCAGCACTGGACTCTGCTTCCTCGAACGTTCAGTGCTCTTACCCTTCCTGGCAGGGGAGGAGATGTGGCCCCGGCCAAGAGAAACAGAACCCTCTTCTCATGGAACAGCCGTTGTCGGTCCCAAGCCAGACCACCTATGGGCACTGCTGCCTACAGAGGTCCCCGGTCCCAAGCCAGACCACCTATGGGCACTGCTGCCTACAGAGGTCCCCGAGGCAGCCTTTGGCCTCTTGATTTCTTCGTGTTTATTGACTTGCCAATGCTCTGGAACTTGATGCCTTACAGTCTCATAGCAGCACTCAGTGCTGTGGTGGCTCGTGTGCTGCTGGAAGCTGGGTCACTCACTGGTGCTTCCAGTGCCAGCAGGGTCACCCAGAGTGAACAGGCTTCAGTGGAGTTCCCAGACTAAGAACTGATTACGAAGAAGGAATCAGCTGTCTACTGTGGGGGGATTGGCTGCTGAGAATCTCATGCACAGCATCAAACATTGTCAGATACCGAAGGCCTAATGAATAGAAACAGAACATTGTCAGAGTTAGTGCCAGAGATGAGCCCCTCAGGTGGAGGGCAGTCAGTACGAGCTTCTCAAAGTAGAGTTGCCTAAAGTGACAGGAATGGAGGAAAGCCTGTGGGAATAAAGGCTTCAGGACCACCACTTACTGATAAGGCACCTCTCAAAAGGAGAAGAAACAGCTGCAAACGGTTAATAATCAGAACTTGGAATGTACAAAGTAGGAGGTTAGGAAAATTGGAAGTTGTCAAAAATGAAATGGCACGCATGAAGATTATATCCTGTGCATTAGTGAGCTGAAAAGGGCCGGTATTGACCATGCTGGGAATGACACAATCAAGAGAAATGCTGTTGCATTGGTCGTCATTAGTGGCTATCGCATTACATTGACAGGGAGTTCTTAGAGGTTCAGGCTGGATTCGGAAAAGGACGTGGATCAAGGGACCTCATTGCTGATGTCAGATGGATCTTGGCTGAAAGCAGAGGATACCAGAAAGATGTTTGTTTGTGTTTTATGGACGAAGGCATTAGACTTGTGAATGCTAACAAACTGGATAGCCTTAAGAAGAACGGTAATTTCAGAACACTTTGTTGTGCTCATGCAGAACCTTTGCATAGTTCAAGAGGCAGTTTTGCGGACAGAACAAGGGAATACTGCATGGTTTGTAATCAGGAAAGGTGTGCATCCAGGGTTGTAGCCTCTTGCCATAACTAATCTGGATGTGGTGCCAATAATCAGAGAAGCTGGATTATGTGAGGAAGAATGTGACATCAGGATGGCAGGAAGGCCTATGAACAATCTTTAATATGCAGAGGACACAGCCTTGCATGCTCAAAGTGAGGAGGACTTGTTGATGAAGATCGAGGATTGCAGCCTTCACTATGGATTATGGCTCCATGTCAAGAAAACCAAAATCCTCATGATGGACCAATAGGTAACATCATGATGAATGGAGAAAAGATTCAAGTTGTCAAGGATGTCATCGTGCTTGAATCTACAATCAATGCTCATGGAGGCAACAGTCAAGAAATCAAAAGATGCATTGTATTGAGTAAATCTACTACACAAAGCCTCTTTAAAGTGTTAAAAAGCAGGGAAGTCACTTTGAGGACTGTGTGTGCCTGGCCTGACCTGTGGTATTTTCCATTGCTTCATATACAAGTAAGACTTGGACATTGAGTAAGGAAGACTGAAGGTAGAACCTATTGAAGGTAGAACATTGAAAGTACCATGGACTGCCAAAAGTACAAACTGATCTGTCTTGGAAGTACAACAGAATAGCTCCTTAGAGGCAAGAATGGTAAGACTTTGCCTTACATACTTTGTACATGGTGTCAAGAGAGACTGGTCCCTGGAGAAGGACATCGTGCTTGGTAAATTTGAGCAGCTAAAAAGAGGAAGATCCTAGACAAGATGCACTGACACCGTGGCTGCAATAGGCTCTAGCATCCCAACAGTTGTGAGGATGGCACACGACCAGGCAATATTTTGTTCTGTTGTACAGAAGTCTCTGGGTCAGAACCGACTTGATGGCACCTCACAACAACAGCAGCAGCAGCAACAAGTAATCAATATGTCTTCGCAGTTTCCCTGTTCATAGTTCATGTGAAAAGAAGCTTTTATATTCCTTCTGTAGCCTTCCTTGTACCCAACATGTTATACGGGGATTATAAACATGAGCTAAATTTTTATTTCAAAAGCTTTCAGATAGTGTAAAAGCTCTAATTTTTCAGGGAGCAAGAAAAGTATTAGAGACAAAGAAAGCATGTTTCATTTTGCTGTACCCATCTGAGCCTATGTGTATAATGTAACTTCAGGGGAATGAATTTTAAGTAAACATCAAAGTAAAGGCCTTTTGGATACATTTAAATAAATGTGTGGTATATCTGGCTATCATATGGTTTACCTCTTTAGACTATATCTTTTGAAGTAGTATTGGAGGACAGAGTATTTCCTGTTCTTGTCATTTCTGTTTCTCTCTCGATTCCAGTCGGGTCAGAGTCTGATGCCTCTTCTGGAGGGTAAGGCCCATGAGAGAAAGTGGCAGGTCAAGGTCTGGCAGAGGTGGTCCTATCTCTCAACCAGTTTTCAGAGGGTGGGGCCAAGTCAACCCTTAACAGGCAGCAAATACATGGAGCTTCCATTTGACATACCTGTGGCGGTTTCCTTTTCCCTCCACCTTCAGTCCCATTGCCCATGAGGCAGTTTGGGGCAGTGTCTCCAGGTAGGGGGAGGATCTTAGGTGCTCAGATAGAGGAGTGTGCTAATAGCCGTCTTCTGTTTGCTCCTAGCAGAGGTGAAAACCCCCAAGCGCCGGCAGCCCTTTGTCCCTTTTGCTCTCCGGAATCACACAGGATGCACTCTGTGGTTTGCCACCCTGACCACCACGCCCACCAGGTAGGAGCACTCAGCCTGTCTCCCTGTGCCCTCTCTGCCGTCGAAGCTGCCTGTGGCCAGGGCAGTGTGCGCATGAGTACCTTGCCTTGGTGTTGGAGTTCCTGACCGAGGCTCTGGTTCTGTATAGAATCTATAGTCAGAGAAGTGTATCTGAAATATCCAAATTATGATTTTGATCCTGGGGTGCACTATACAAGATGAAGTAAAAAAGTATTGCTACAGAATTGTAGACCCATTTACTTTTCTTTTTTAAAGAAGTATCCAGATGTGAAGCTTTTGTTTCTCAGCATGGACTTTTGAAGGGGTGTTCCATCTCTCTAAGCTCTCTCCAAAGGATTCTCTGCTCTTCAGCTTGCACCACATTAACATGCTCCTGTGACATCCCGGAGGGCGCACACCCTGTGTTTCTTAAATCAATGTTCTCTGAGTTTAGGGAATAAAAAGAAGCGTAAGGGCATAAGATGAGGGCTGTAGGGTGGAGGGGTAAAGTTTACCAACAAAGTCCTCATAGGCCAAGGCTCATTATCTTCTAGGATTTGCAGATATACTGCCATGATGGGAAAAATTCCTCAGCACAACTTTTCTGCTTTTTTCCTCACCAATACAGTTTTCGAATTTCTTAAAGCTTCTTCATAGTGAGCCCCATGATCATGCTGTGTCTTTCAAGAAAATCTGTCATGTTTACCTTTTGGAGTTCAACAAACAGTTGCCATTACTTGAGCTAGCCGCTCTACCGGGAACTTAATGGGCCCAGCAGATCCCCTCAGAAGCCACTGTTTTAATTGGACCTATTTTTAAAAGGCACCTTAACAAGACCTAAGACAAGTATATTTCTGAGAGAATTTACCTGCAAACCCCCCACCGATCAGAGACACATGTCTAAACATCTTTTGTCTGGTGCAGGTATGAACCAGAATCTCAGTAATCCTTTTTGGCTTATCCTGATGTTTAAAGGGAAATCTAATAAAGACATGGGTAGGAAGTATAGATAGAAAAGGGTTTCTTTCTTTTCTCCTCAGCCTCCTTTTTTCATCTCAGTCATAATTTTCTTTTTTTTTTTTTTTTAATATGGAACGCTTCACGAATTTGCGTGTCATCCTTGTGCAGGGGCCATGCTAATCTTCTCTGTATCGTTCCAATTTTAGTATATGTGCTGCCGAAGCGAGCGCAGTCATAATTTTCTTTAACTAATAGTACATGACTCTCCAAGTGAACATTTCTGTATTCTTCTTCCAAGACCACTTTCTCCCCACAAATAATGTTCTTCCAAACCCAAAACATAATCCGCACAGATGGATGTGGGTGAGGTTAAAAGGGAGGATAGCTAATAGCATCTGGTTTGGTTCCAGGGCTGCATTGTCTCACAGTGGGAGTCCAGGCCTTGTTCCAGAAGAGAATGGGACCTTTCTTGATGATGGCCACAATGTCAGTGAGTGGCGAGAAGTCCTCACGGGGGAGGAGATTCCCTTTGAATTTGAAGCAAGAGGAAAGCTACGACACAGGTAAATATAGTTTATTATTTTCTTTAAAAAAATCATACTAGCCCAAAGGTGCAAACAACACGTGTCCATCAGTAGATGAACAGATAAACAAAATGTGGCTCACCATACATGCTGTCATTGAGTCGATTCTGATCCATAGCAACCCTGTAGGACAGCGCCTCTGTGAGTTTCGAGACTGTAACTCTTTACAGGAATAGAAAGCCTTGTCTTTCTCCCTTGGAGCTGCTGGTGGTTTCAAACTGCAAACCTTGTAGATTACAGACCAATGTGTAACCACTACACCACCAGGGCTCCTAAGGATATTATTCGGCCACCAAAAAGTTCTGAGATGTGCTACAACATGGATGGGCTTGTAAAAAGCATTTTACTAAGTGAAATAAGCCAGACATCAAAGGACAAATGTATGATTCTGTTTCATATTAGGTATCTGGAATAGGCAGATTCATTGAGATAAAAGTCGATTCCTGGTTTCAAAGGACTGGATGGAGTAGAGGGAGGAATCAGGTATCATGTTACTTTGGGTTGTCTAGAGAGACAAAACCAGTGACACTCCTATGTGTAATAAAGAACTTTATGTATCAAGGAGTTAATTTTTATCAAGAAGAATATCCCAGGCCAGTCCAACTCAAGTCCATGGGTACGATGCTAGCTGGAACCCTCTTCAGACTCGTGTAACTGCAGGCTGATGACTCAGAAAAGGGAAGCAGGGAGATCATAGGCTGCTGGGTAGAGAGTCACATGGATCCAAGGTTAGTGGGAGCATGGCACAGCTCCCAGGGTTGGTGGGCCACATGTGGCCACCCCGGGAGGCAGATACAGAATCCAAGCACAAGGGGAAAGGGCAAGAGAGTCATCAAAGGTGATCCATTAATCATGTGGATTTCAGTTTTAAGATACATATGTGCTACAATGCACTTTCAGTAAACAGGTAGTTTCAGGAAGTAAAGCCAGTAATGATAAGATTCTCTGATTCAAGAAGGATAAGAATAATTCATGTACAGCATAGGTTTACAAAATTATTTTGCATACACCCTGCTTATGAGGGGGAAAAATAATCAGTGGCCCCTGGCAATTAAAATCTTTTATGCTACAGCTCATAATCAAGGTTAAAGTATAAGTACTTGCTTTTGCAATTCCCCTGGACCATTTCAGCACACCTCTCCCAGGAGCAGTATCACCCACTCTGCGAAGCAGAACTCATGGAACAGCCCAGTGAACTAAATGCAAAAGGTTATGTCCAATTAATGACTCAGAGATGACATAATTTCTCATTGTTTGCATGTATTTTAAAAATGGAAGGACTCTTAGTTAGTGGATAGTGAATAGGTTAAAACATTTTAAAAAATGTTTTTTTACCATTAAGGTGATTCCAAACCTTTAGCAAGTAGGAGTGCCCTGTAGTGTTTCCAAAGCTATAATCTTTAGGGAAGTCAATGGCTGCGGCTTTCTCCCACAGCATGACTGGTGGGTTAGAACCACTGACCTTTCAGCTAGCTTAACCACTGGGCCACCAGGGGCTACTTTTATGAGTATATTTAAGATTGAGTATTGGTCTAGCTTAAGAGTTCAAGACCTAGGGCTACCAGAAGTTAGTGTAAAAAATGGAAAAGGTAATGGAATTTTTCCACAAATGTTTTGAAGCCTCTTTGTATTCGAGTCTCTTGTTTGTCTTCAAGCTGAGGTGAAATTTAAGAGCTTGGCTCAAGCCTTCTACAGGCATAGGCTTCTCATAGGACCTTCAATCGTTGTATGCAAGCCTGGTCCCAAGTCAGAAGTTCCCTCTGTATACCCTCAACTCAGTACACACTGTACTTAATGGCAAGGCTATGGAATCCAAGCGAGCCCCCGGGGCCTTTGTAGGAGGTGAAAGAAGTTGAAGCAAAAGTCACTCTGTTGGGCACATGCCCTTGGAAACCAGGCTAGAGTTTCTAGAGATGGTGAGTTTTTTCCTGTTCTTCTACAAAGACTCTGGACAAACAAACTCTAGAGGAGTTGGTGGTATGTCTCAATAGACTGCCTTGTATCAGAAAAGGCTTTGACCTCTGTCACTTCTGTTTTTTGGTTTCCATGTTTTGTAACACATTTCATGTTCTACTGTGCTGCTTGAATTTATCAGAATAAATGTCTTCCTCGGCTTCCCCCCCTCCCTTTGGCACACTGGACCCCCATCCCCTCTCCTCTTCTTGTCATGTCCACCGTAAATCCAGTTCCCCATTTCAGGCTTCTGGCTTGAATTAGGCAAAATCGAAAATAGAATTAAATGTGCAATTTCCTCTTACTCCTCCTGTTCTGCCCACTGCCTTCTGCTCCAATCTTGTCTGAGCACCTCAGCCCTAAAGCTCCTAGAGCCTGTCTCACTAGAAGCCCGTCTGCAGTCATGTGGGGCTGAAGCCAACCAATGTGCTGTGGTGCTAAGTGAAGGAGGATACTCAACAAAGGAACCAAGGAGTTGTTTTATGCATTTCCAAGGGTGTGGTCAGATGGTTAAATTGCCAGCACAGCATCTGTTTACCATCCTATTGAAATGACTTTAGCTGATGTCATTATTTTATAGAGATTGGTGTGGGGCTGGGGGGGAGAGACACGAGCTAGTGTATAAGATTTGTGTGGCTTTTGCAGTGGCAGGTAGAAGGCCCTGCAGTCTTGCTCAGGCCTTACAAATCTTCCTATCTGTGGAGTAACTAAGTGCAAAAACCAGTGAAAAGATTGTCTTGATTTCCTTTGCATTATGCAATTATCTGAAGGGGTATCCAATTGGATTTTTATGGTATAGTAAATCCATGTAGAGACTTTGCTGGTCCTTTTTGTCCCTTCTTGAGTGTGTGTGTAATGTGGCTTTCTCTCTCTTGCCTGCTAGACACACCCACGACCTCCGGATCCATCAACTGCAAGTGAGAGTCAACGGCTGGGAACAAGTGAGCCCAGTGTCTGTGGACAAAGTCGGGACCTTTTTCCGATATGCAGCTCCAGATAAGAATTCCTCTTCTTCCACGGTGTGTGAAGAGAATGGGTATTTAATACGCCATTGTGCTGTGGCCACAGCCCGTACAGCCAGACTATCAAACAATTAAGCCTTGCTTGAGTGCAGGGGTTGGGCAACTTTTGGGATGGAAGAGCCAATCTTGTCCCGAAATACATTTCAAGAGCCAGAATTACTTTTTTTTTTTAACAAACAAAAGAAATCACCATTATCTGAAAATGAAACTATGCTAATTTTGTTTTTATTTTCAGTTTTACTTCAGAGCTATGTGTACGTTATTGAAAGAGCCCCCTATGGCTTGAGAGCAGCAGTTGGCTGACCCCTGCTCTAGTGGAGTGTTCTTATTCTTATTTCCCCTTGACTGAAGAGTAAGAGCCTTGGTGGCACAGTGGTTAAGTGCTTGGTGGCCGTTCTAACCAACTGCATGGCAGGCGGATGATGTGGCACTCTGCTTCAGTAACGATTGGAAACCTTACGGGGACAGTTCTGCTCTGCCCTAGAGGGTGGCCATGAGCTGGAATGAACTTGACGGCAACATGTAGGCTGCAGGTTATTCAGTTCTGTCATGAACATCGGAGATCAACATGGAGATAAGCCCAACCGCAGTTAATTTCAGTAGAAAATCTGGGTTTAACTTGGCATTAGCACATAAGCTCTCCCCTGGGCAGACCCATTTCCTACGCAGCTGGCCTGAGTGGTAGCATTCTAGTCCTCCAGGAGCAGTCGACTTTCCTTCATATACTGTCTCCTTTACCTTTCTTGTAATACTGTTCCTTGATTCCTCTGACTCTGTGTCCCCACACTAGGACACATGTCCCAGGTCACTTCTTTTCTGATCATGCACACCTCATATACTCCTGCCCCAGCTTTAGCTCAGCCTCCGGCTGGAAGGCAGCCTGGGAGAAACACAGGTAGCATTCCCTGATGTGTGTCATGAAAACAATTCCCGAGTGATGTAGGCACTGCTGATGCTCTTGCCCAATCGTCATCGTGCAATGGGTTTGGGGTGGTCAGTAACAAGTAAGAAAGGCAAGATCTCCTCAGGCTTGCTTTCTTCATGAGAGAGATTCTAGAGAAAGGCTGTTCTCCAAGTGTTCATGTCCAGTGTTTCTCTCTGACTCCTGAAGTTTCTTGGATTGAAAACGGCCTTTTTTCTTCATTACTTTTTCCTCCAAATCCATGTCAATGAAAAAACTAACTGTACCCTGCCTCATAGATATCTTTGAAATGGACTCGTGTTTTCAATACTTTGGGTGTTGTTAGAACAAATACAGCCCTGCTTTTCAAGCCTGCCTCCAGAGATAAGATGGGTTAGCTGCATCACAGGCCATATTACCAGCGTGTGTAAACTCTCGCCCTCCTTTCCAGCAAATGAATTTAGTGATGTCTGTTTTCTTAGGTCTGTGTTAACTCTCTGGCTTTTGGACTCTTTCTTAGATTGGCAGCCCGAGCAGCCGAACAAATATTATCCATCCCCAGGTTTATGTGAGTATGATTTTCTGTTCCCCCGATGATATCTGTTTGACTGTACACCACATAGCTTTGCTTCTCTTTTTATTTGTGCTAAATATGTATGTAACAAAACATTTGCTATTTTAATATATACTTCTGAAAGAGCAGCGGGCGTATTTTTTATTGCAATTGATCTTGACTCTTTGATTAGTGATTGCCTTCCTTTTACAGGAACTTGCGAAACAGTGCTTTTCACTTTAATTGGCACGTGAAACTCAGTTGTACTGGGAAGGAGGGGAAAAGGCACATGTTGTCTCTCAGGGCGCCTTTTCTTTCTAAGTTCAAATAGGAATTAACCCCTTCAGGGCTATATGGATTCCATAGGGTTGGGCCCAATGATCCTAAAAGTAAGAATGAATAATAGCAAGACCCTCACCTATTACCCTTCTTTTGACTCTTGAAAATTCATCATATGATGACTTTAAACATGCTTTATTTGGGTTTCTGTTTATAATTTCTCCCTGAGGAGTATAGATTTTGAAATGTGAAATTTCAGGCTGGCCTGGAAGCAACAACTGCCAGATTTAAAACGATTGTTCTTGGGCCTTGGTGTTGTTGCACTGGCTCAGCAGAGCTTGAACCCTGGTGATAATTGTGCTCAGAATTGTTCCCTCTGAAAACACTCCAGAAAATGATGGTTGGCTCTTTCATCTGGGCTTTCTGGAAGTCTTGGTTCAAAACATGGAGCTCTTCATTTTGTTGTTTGAGTAGGTTGGTTTCCACATACTGTTTGTTTTAGTAAAACGTTGGCAGTACGAAAAACCTGGCTGTGGAGCCATTTGTTTCCCCAATACAAAAGCATTGTCAGCATGTTGTGTACGCTTACTCTGAAAGTAATAGTTTTAGAAACTCTCTTTGGTGAACCTAATGTAGAAATATGTATATGAATTTTCTGGCACCTTGCTGTAGTACAAAATGTATCCATTGATTGTGTGGATGAACATATGGAAAGAAGAAAGTAGTGGCTGTAACCCAAGATCAAAAATAAGTTTCCATTCATTATATTGCGTTTCTGAGCCTTGATGTCCTGCTTATATAAGAGTGATTACAGAGCAGAACTCAGAACGTTACTGTGAAGAATGAGAGGCTTGTTTTGAAAGTTCTTTAAAATATAAGAGTTGGATTTCCTCTCGGCTTGTCGTCTAATAGTGTCTGCATCTAGAGAGTAGACTTTGGGGCATTGGGATGGGGCCAGGCTGGGAGGAGGGTGGATTCTTATTTGGTACTGTTTGGTATACTGTGCATACCAAACACAGGGAACTCTTTATAAGGTTTTGCAAAATCCTGCTGAAATGCTTCTGACCTTTCCCTGTAGTTGTTTTGGGTGAACATCATATGCTCTCCAGGAGAGTTGGAAATAAGTCCTGTTCACAATTTCCTAAGGACAGGACCCTAGGGCAGTATGAATGAAGGTGAACCTCTCTCCGATAATCTTACTAAATTATAAATTATAGGAAGTTTGGAAATTTTGATTATCACTTTCTTAGGTTAGATTCTTTATAATGTGCCTCGAGGCCCAGGACTATTTTTCATTGTGATACATGTTGTGCTGTCACATCTGAGTATATAATTTTAGAAGATATGAATGGTTAAATTGGCTCTTGTTAATAGTGTGAGTGTAGGATGTTTATTTCCATTAAAGCTGACCTGTTTTAAGGTTTAATGGCTACCCTTCCACTGGAGGCTCTCGTCATAAAAAGATGCTTTTGATTTAGGCATTCTGTGCACTAGTGATATGCTTTACGTGTTTTTTGTTTGTTTGCTTTCCCCCCCAAAGCATAGCCATGTTCTTTTTCTCTTTTCCCTAGTTCTCGTCTCTCCCACCTGTCCGGGTGGTATTTGCGGTGACCATGGAAGGCAGTGCTCGGAAAGTGATCACTGTCCGTTCAGCCCTTATTGTCAGGAACAGACTCGAGACACCAATGGAACTAAGACTGGATAGCCCTTCAGCTCCAGACAGTATGTTCAGAATGTCTAGATGAAAGTAAATGCTTGATAAACATTTACTGACTGTTTTCAGGGCCCTTTCTCCCGAAGCAGTCAGTGCATGCTCCTGTCTTCCTTATCCCGAGCGCTGTTATCTTTGGGGAGGAGGGCCATTGCCTCCAGTGCTAACTCAGGCTTGTTTCTGTGACAGAGCCAGTGGTGCTTCCAGCCATCATGCCAGGGGATGCATTTGCCGTGCCTTTACATCTCACTTCTTGGAGGCTACAGGCTCGACCCAAAGGATTTGGTGTTTTCTTCTGCAAGGCTCCCATTCACTGGACCAATGTAGTGAAGACCATGGAAGTCAGTAGCAGCAAGCGAGAATGCCACTCTGTGGACACGGAAAAGAACCGGTTCTTCAGGTATGCACCTCCAACAGCGCCGTGTAAATATTACCCTTGCCCCGCCTTTCAGGTCGACTCTATTAGCAGTTTTTCTCAATGGACATTAGCTAGTCAGTTGCACCTATGTAAAACCCTACCATTCTTATTTCTTATGTTCATATGTTAAAGAGTTCATAAGATATACATAAAGAAAGTGGTGAATTGTGAATATTTTGTGTTTGTTTTCACCACAATTAAAAATAAGTTTTCAAGGGGAAGTTGCTTGTTACATAATATTTATGGAGAAACAATTAACAAATACATTCCTCACACACAGAGAGAAGACATGTAAAGAGGGAAAAACAGTAACACCAACACAAAGCTAGTCTCTTTCCCAAAATGGGAATCAAAATCTTGGGCTTATGAGTTTTTAAATGAGAGATTTCCAAGGAATTTGAAGGTTCATGCACCTAGTGCTGACTTTCTTGGGACTTTTATAAAACCATGTAACCATCACTCAAAATTGAGTTGACTCATATCAACCACATAGGACATAGTAGAACTGCTCATAGCACTTCCAAGGCTATACGTTTTTATGAAAGAAAATGAGTAGAGCAGCCACAGAATTTGAATAAATATTATTTATGTGGAATTTATGAGAGATTTCTAAAAATAAACAATAAAAGGATTAAAAAAACCTTAAGAATTTACAAAGTATTTGAACTTACAGGAGAAGATATACAAATGGCCGGTAGACACATGAAAAGATTCTCCATATCATTAATTACCAGGAGAATGCAAATCAGATTCTAGTGAGTAACTTTACTCTCTAGAATGGCTAACATTGAAAGACTGACAGTATCAAATGTTGACAAGGGTGTTGGTCAACTAGAGCTCTTGTATGTTTATAGCTGGTGGGAATCTAAAGTGGTACAACCACTTGGGGGAAAATGTTTGGTTGTTTCTGTAAAAATTTAAGACCCTATGACCCAGTAGTTTCTTTTCTTTTCTTTTTTTGACCCAAGTAGTTTCACTCCTAAGAGAAATGAAAAGTATTTGACTTCCGCCTCATCTGTAAAAAAAAGATGTGTAAAAATGTTCATGTTACCCCTAAACTGGAAGCAACTCACAAGGCTCTCAACAGCATAATAGATACATGAAGATTGGCAAATCCCTAAAATGGTATATACTAGTAGGCACTGTGATCATGAGGTGTCGATGGGATCAGGTAGCAGACATCTAAGACCCAGAACAAAATCATACCCAATGTGAAGGGCGGGAGGACCTACATGGAGTAGAGACCCAATGCCCATCTGTAGACAATTGGACATCCCCTCACAGAGGGGTCACAGGGAAGAGATGAGCCAGTCGGAGTGTAGTATAGCACCGATGAAACACATGATTTTCCTCTAGGTCTTTAGTGCTTCCTTCACCCCACTATCATGACCCCAATTCTACCTTACAAATTAGACCAGAACGTGCACACTGCTACAGATAAGAGCCTGAAACACAGGGAATCCAGTATAGATAAACCAGTCAGGGCCCACAACGAGAGTAGATAGGAGGATTAGGGGAGGGTGGGGGTAGAAAGGTGGAATGGGCCACAGGATCAACCTATAACCCCCTCTCAGGGGGACAAACAATGGAAAAGTGGGTTAGGGGTGATGGAGGACCATGTAAGATGAAAATAATAATGTATAACTTAATCAAGGGTTCATGAGGAAGGATGGATGGGGGAGAAAGGGGGAAGAAATGGGGAGCTGATATCAGCGGCTCACGTGGGAAGAGAATGCTTTGAAAATGATGATGTGCAAATGTGCTCGACACAAAGGATGAATATATGAATTGTGATAAGAGATGTAAGAGCCCCAATAAAAGTATATGATAAAAAAGAAAAAGGATATGCTGCTGATATAGTAGTTTTTTAAAAATTAAAATTTTTGGAAAAAAAAATTTGTTGTTATAGAGAATATTCACAGTAGCCCATGCACCAATTCAACAATTTCTACATCTGTACTTCATTGACATAGATTGTATTCTTTGAATTGTGCTCTGTTCTCGGCCTCCTTTTCCAAGTTGCTACTCTTTCCTGAATATAAACACATTGCCTCCTAATTTTCTTATCTAATCTTTCAAGTTGTTGCTCTCAAAGAGCCCCAGCAGATAGATCTTAAAAGAGCACAGTGCTCAAGGCATGTAGTCTTGACTTGTTCAGCAAACCTCTTGTTTGGCTCTGAGAAAACTTCAAGGATGTTTTTGGTCTAACTTTTTTTAAAAGGTGTAATTGTAATTTCAGAGTTTTATTAATAATAATGTTTATTTTTTTCAAATAATTTACCTTTCCACTTTTTTCTAAGATCATTTTATTGGGGGCTCTTACATCTCTTATCACAATCCATCAATTTTATCAAGCACACTTGTGCATATGTTGCCATCATTGTTTTCTAAACAAGCTTTACCTTTAAGGATGATCTCAGGGCAGTAGGTTTGAGGGATTCATCTATTCTCCATGAAATTGAATTCCATGAGAATTTGAAATTCTGTTTTGCATTTTTTCCCTTTTTTTCCCCCTCTCCCTTTTTAATCTGGATTTTTCGATAGAATATTTGATTAAAATGTTCAGTAATGGTAGCCAGGCATCTTCTAGTTCTTCTGGTTTCATGGCCAAGGTGGCAATTATTGTTGGAGGCAATTAGCCACACATTCCATTTCCTTCTCTCATTCCATGCTCCCCTGCCTCTCTTGTTGAACGGAGACTAATGGTTGTGGCTTGAATGATTACAGTTGAGTTTTAGTGCACGAGGATCCAGACGTAAAGAGTGGTACACGCTGCATGCTCCATTTATTTACAGTTCAAGAGCAGGAGAAGCCATAGTGAACAGGGAAACAAGAATAGGACAAACTATCAAAAAGTGGTTGCTTGAATGATGGGAGAAGATATGAATGAAAAAGGGACACGAGGACATTTTCCGGGGTAAACAAAATACTCTCTTATTTGTTTGGATAGCGGTAGTGGAGGTTGTGGTTAGGGACCATTGGGTCGGTTCCCACTCATAGCAACCCTCTGCACAATAGAAGGAATGCTGCCCAGTCCTGAGGCGTCCTTATGTTTGGTGGTTATAGGTGTATATATAAATTGTTCAATATAAAACTGAACATGTTCAGAATAACACATTTTATTACATAGTATACCTCAATGAATGTATTTGGATTAAAGATTATAAATATCTTCCTGAATTAATTGAACCATTTTGATATATTTTCTTATTTATAGCTTAGGGGGGGAAAATTCAAGCTTTTCAAAATAAGCTGATGGTTTTCACGCCATTTTGTGTTTCTCTCTAGGTTTTGTGTCGCTATAAAGAAAGAGAATTATCCAGATTACATGCCCTCGAGTATATTTTCTGACAGTGCTAAACAGATTTTCAGACAGCCGGGGCATACCATTTACCTCTTGCCAACCGTGGTCCTATGCAACTTACTGCCTTGTGAACTCGATTTTTATGTTAAAGGGATGCCCATTAATGGGACCTTAAAACCTGGCAAAGAAGCAGCTCTCCACACAGCTGACACATCCCAGAACATTGAACTGGGTAAGGAAGTCATCACGGGCTTGTTTATAATAATGCTGTAAAAATTACAGTGATGTTGTTGGGTACATTTTATAAATACTTCATTTTGTGAATATCTTGTAGATATCATGGAGTAAATGTGGCATGTGTAATATCTCAGTAACCTAGCTCAAAGGAATTAAAGGAGCTTTAAAAATCTAAGAAAATTATGTAAAGGCAAAATGGAACAACTGCGCAAGATTCACAGGGGAAGCACTCACCAGAGCCCTTTTCTTATGTTCCTCAGAAAGTGTGTGTGACTACAACCAAGCTCACTCCCATGGAGTCGATTCCAACTCATAGCGACCCATAGATAGGCCAGAACTGTCCCTGGGGCTTTCCGAGGCCGTGTTCTAACTGCTGACCGACTCTAGTTAGCAGCCCAGCACGTGGCCCACTACGCCACCAGGATTCCTGTGTGATTGTAGGGAAGCCGTTGAACCTTTTACAATCAGACTTTCTCCTCACCCGGTTCTTGTTGGTTGCCGTCAAGTTGATTCTGAGAATAACGCCATAGGGTTTTCCATTTGGGACCAGATCTCCAGGCCTGGTTTCAGAGGAGCCTCAGAGTGGGTATAAACCTCTGGCCTTTCAGCTCTAAGTAGAGTACTTACCTGTTCGGGCAATGAACAAAGTCCTATGCCATTCTGTTTCAGGGAAGGGGAATCATCTAGTAAGTAAGCATAAACATGTACTATACTCTGGGCTGCATGCCAAGCACTTTCACATACATGATCTTATGTAATTCTTACAGCGCAACAGGTAGTTATCTGGCCCATATTAATGAAGAAATTGAGGTTTGGAGTGTTTATGAGTGAAAAGTGATTTTCAGTCGTAGGGGTGGTTGAAGCCAGGTTAGAGAATCTTATACGCTGTACTCAAAACAAAGAGATTCTTCCGGAACTGTCTTGCAGCAACTGTACATGGCAGAGTGGAACGGCTCCTATAGGGATGTTTTTAACTAACTTTTAAGAGAGCAGATTCCAACCACCGACTTCTAGTTAGCAGGCATTGTGTTATATCCAAACCTACTGTTTGAGATGCTTCTGATTCATAGCGACCCTCTATAGGATTTCTGTGACTGTAATCTTTACAGGATTAGGATGGCCTCATCTCTACTCCGAGGAGCGTATGTTGGGTTTGAAGCACTGACCTTGTGGTACAGTCTGATGCTTACCCATCAGTGCCACCACCTAGAAACACTAAGATATATTTTTCTTTTTATAGTTTGCAGAGTGCTTTCACTATAATATTTCCTTGGATTGTCACAGTAGCTCCGTATCTATTATTTTCATTCAGCTTACAATGGGTCCCCTATTGACACGCTTATATTTCAATAGCTATATAAACCCTTGGCCTCAATTTAGAAAAGAAAAATAGTGCAATGCTAGTTGTACATTCTAACAAAAAATTAGACTTTGTTCTGGTGGTTAAATAGATTTCTATTATATTTGTTCAACAAATCTTTATTGAGCTAAGTGGATAAAATGGAGGTGTCCTCCTACTTTCTTGCTGCTGTGTTTCGCTGCATCCTCTCTCTTCAGGGTCAGGGTTTGTGTGCAACTTCACTTTAATAACAGCCTTGCTTGTCCCACGTCACACATCTACTAAGGGCAGCCTGAAGATTTGACGCCAGGCCGTTTGGCTGCAGAAGCTCGGCTCTTCCCCTCTGCTTGCAGTTACTGCATTCGGTACCCGGCACAGGGCCTGATGTATGGTTGCTCGTGTTGTTAGTTGCCATTGAGTCAGTTCTGACTTGCGCAACTTTATAACAGTATAACAACAGTATAACAACTGTTGTCCCACCCTGCTACAACCTCATCATTATAGTGATTATTGATAACTTCCTTCCAATTATGCAGCTTAGGTGTCCTACTATGACTTTTAGACCCTCTGGCTTGCTTCATGTGTATGCTTAACTCTAGCTAGAGGACAATGGCAATGTAATGAGTATTTTGTTTGTTTGTTTGTTTTGTTTTTAACCTGTTACATATGTTTGTTAGTTGCCATCTCGATCAGTTCCGACTGATAGCAACCTCATGTATAACAGAACGGTGTGTGTGTGTGTGTGTGTGTGTGTACCTACACACATACATAACACACACACAGTTAGGAATATAGCTAGTGGTTTTTCCAAAGAAGAAACTAGAGCCAATTGAGTTTGACTATGGCCTATTTTGGGAAAATAAGAGGAGGATGCAGAAAGACAATATTTTTTTTCTAGGGGTCTCGCTGGAGAATTTCCCGCTTTGTAAGGAATTACTCATTCCACCTGGAACCCAAAACTACATGGTGAGAATGCGACTCTATGACATCAACCGTCGGCAGCTCAGCCTTACCATCCGGATTGTGTGCAGGGCAGAGGGATCCTTAAAGATCTTCATTTCTGCTCCCTACTGGTTGATTAACAAAACAGGTATGTACAGGGGCTGATCGAGCAGACCTTTAGCTGTGGTCATGGGAATTCAGATTTATTTGCTCAACTAACTAAATGGAGCCAATGCAAATAGATTACTTCAACAGTCTAATCTGCTGAAACTTTCCTGCTTCCATAATAGAGGCTTAATCATGGTCAAAGCTGTCATTTTTTAGACAATGAACTAAGCTCACTAGATACATTCAGTTTTCACCATTTCCCCCTTGATGATTTCTGTTTTCTCCCGCTTTTACCATTTGCGTGTGTCTTG